AAAACACTGTATATAGAACTATTGCTTTTCTGCGCTCTAGGAATTTCAACGAAATTTAGTTTAATATAAAGAGGAGATGCGCATCTCGAAAAATCTCGACGGGACACTAAAGGATTTGGTCCGACTTGAGGTACGGTCGCTTATATGGGCTTTCCGGCGGCGACTTTAGATAAACAAAAACAAACAAACAAGATGTGCATATCATCATCATCATCATCATCATCATCATCAGTATTTCCCGTTTGGCCGTTTAATTACAGAGTTATGATCCATAATTTATTATCATTTATTGTTCATAGAAAAGCATTAATTCAACCCTATTCTTCAACAAATCTGCTGAATAATTTAAACAAAACTATGTGGGTACATCTAATACCAAGCGGAGATGTGTATATTGACGGCACTAACCCGAAGTTAAGACCCCTGGTTGCTTAATATTCAGTTTCAGATAAACTTAAGTATTTCATGTCTTCAAATGTTAAATATATCTAATTTTAATTGTGTGGGAACCTTCAATACAAAAAGGGCATGTGCATTATCGCCGTGACCTTGAGTGATATGGGCCCTGATAATTTATGCTTTAACCGACTATTTCCCCGGAGTCTTTATTCGAAATGTATCCTGCAATTGTTTAATTTTCAATCAGTATATGATGGCTGTCGCGGTAAACATTAATTCAGCGAATTTGCTTGCAAGATATTTGAATGACCTCCGTGTAATTATAGCTTCGCAAGACCAATCATATTCTACAAGAAATGTTAAGTTTTCTTTAAGTTTATTTATTCAACTTCCTTCATGATTCTCATTTAACCCTTTCCTTTATAGATATTACTGGTAAAATAACTATATGAACCGCGCCATATTGAACCCTAGATGAGCCGTCAGTACTAAAGAACTCTGATATAATATAGGAATAACGCATGTTTCTTTTTTCGTGTTAAAATATCTGTAGAAACCCAAGGGATTAGTTGGTACCCGACCCAACGTATCCCGAGGGTTTCAGCAGTTGTTATGACACGGAACAATCATTCGTTAACGCTATTCTAGCATAAAGCATGCATAAATCTAACACAATCCATACACAATCAAGCAACATCACTGATTTTCCTCGGATTGCACGGGAACGTCAGCGTCAGAAATATAAATAAATAAGGATTATTTTGCTTGCAGCGTTAACGTTTGCCGTCATATTGTTTACGCGCGCGTAGTCTCCGCGCTTCAGTAGTAAACGGTCTAAAAGCACTTTTCAAAAGGCACATAAAATAAAAAGAAAATGTGTTTGCTTTTCGTGAATATGAACTATATCTCACATCGAAGTGAGAAAATGTTCATATTTTCACTCGCGCTACGCGCTCGTGATACATATTTCATTTTTTTTTTTCTCACTTCTCAGTGAAATATTATTTCATATTCACTCAAAACAAACAAATATCCTCTATTAAAATTCACTAAACCACCGTCGTTTGAAAACTATCTAATCATAAAAGGCGAAAAAAGCTAAGACGCGTCGAAACGATAAAGCGGCCCCGCCACAAAGACACGATCTGTTTAAACGAATTAACTATATTATTATTACTAGTGGAATAGATATGGAAAGTTCCATAGAGCGTCTGCAAGCAATTGGCACAGACTTGCAAAATCGTCTCAGGAAAGAAGGTTCCTAGATGTCAAAATGTCATTACTCTTTAATTGAACCAAGATTCCTGAAAGTCTGCGGAAGTCAAAAGTCTGTCAGACCAAAAAAGGTTCATTGATGTCAAAAGTCCTAATCTCTAATTAGATATCCTGAAAGTCAACGGGGGTCTCAGCTACTTCCCAAACAATCATATATGGTCTCATTGGTGTAAATATGGTCATAATTTGTACTGAAACTAAGATTAAAGTCTGTGAGATTCCTTTAGACCTGTCGCTGTATGGTGGAAGAAATTTGAGGGTTCACAGAGGTAAAAGATCACTTCCAGTTGAAGTCTGATACTATGCCGTGCATTGTCACCAAAATTTTTTGAAGGTTTCGAGAACGTAAGACGACTTGATAGCAATACCATTACGACAATGCGACAGTTCTATGAAGGACAATACAATGCCGACGATACGATATTGCAACAAGTTAGTACGATGGCGATAATGCAATGGTGGTGAAAAGATATTGGTATCGTGATGTCGACATCAACAATATCGATTTATTGCATTGTCGCCCTTGTACTATCGCACTGATATAACCACGATTGTCCTTATGATATTCCGTGTATCACATATTGAAAAATAAACTTGTGACATTTGTGATTCGCCTGTTTAAAAAATTCTCAATTTTGCTTGTGACGTTTTGTGATTGGCATTTTTACCCCGATTTTTGGTCAATCACATTCGTCAACAAAAGTCATTTGTGACGAATGTGATCACATTCGTCACAAATTCATAAAAACTTGTGACGAATGTGATTTGTGACACATGTGGCCTAACACAGCGGAATGTCACAATTACAGTGTTTTTGTGAGGATTATGCTGTTACTCACGAGCTTATGTAATATTTATTTCATTACCCCGAACAAAAACTTCATTGGGACACTGTTTCTATAGGTTATTATTTTTCATTTTTTTGCGAAAGGTTACCCCATTGGCCTTTTGGAAATTAACATTTCAAAAATATTGAGGGGAAATAAGATCAAATGCCATCTAATATGCACAGAAACGAATTAGTTTAAATATATGCTAACAGTGTATATTTGAAAGGATATGAAACAAATATTCACGGCATCTTCGCATTATATAAGACAACATAATATATGACTAGAAACTGAAGCTAAAATGCGCAAAGATATCTGTTAATTATATAATTATAAATAATAAAGTGTCTGGTATTCCTTTTTCATTAATGCCTACAATCACGACATGGAGAGATTCTTTGCTTATTTCAGCTCAAATGTTTAAACAGAACGTGTTTGAGATTAAACTGTTTTGTGAAATATATGGAAACAGCAGATCACTATTTTCGCAATAAAACATTTCTTAAGAATAAATGAACGAGCGATGATAACCAAATAATGTAAACATTATTATTGAAATAATTTTACTGAAGTTATATACTATGAAAACTTTGTCTTAATTTGCCAAAATATAGTTTAATAGAATGCATTCATTCTTTCTCATGTCGTCCGATATATAAAATTTTAAAATAGAGATTTATTTTTAAAAAAGGAATAAATATAGCCTGCTGTAAAACACGCTGTGGTTCTACTCGTGTTCCAACAGAATCTTTGTTCTAATCAGGTTCCAACTCGAATCTGCTGTAAGAAATGCAGTTGTTCTACTCAGGTTCCAACTCGAATCTGCTGTAAAAAATGAAATTCAGTGGTTCTACTCAGGTTCCAACTCGAATCTGCTGTAAGACACGCTGTGTGACTACTAAGGTTTCAACATAACCTGCTGTAAGAAAGACAGTGATTCTATTTAGGTTTCAACTCGAACCTGCTGTAAGAAATCCAGTGGTTTTACTCAGGTTTCAACTGAACCTGCTGTAAGAAAGTCAGCGGTTCAATTCAGGTTCCAACTCGAACCTGGTGTAAGAAATTCAATGAATTTACTCATGCTCCAACTCGAACCTGTTGTAAGAATGGCACTAGCTCTACTCATGTTCCAACTCGAACCTGCTATAAGAAAGTCACCTCGATAGAAACATGGGTATTAGCATACACTCAAAGAAAGCTAGCCTGCTTAGTAGTAAGTGTATGTTTCGATCCGTCTTCAAGCTAGTATATATGTATTTCTTCAAAATTTAAAAACTGAAAAAGTCGCCCTATGAAATAAATACCGTTGGTAGGATATTAAACGAAGAATATCAACGCATTAACATATATACATATATAAAAACAACACAGATATGCCAAAGAACATGTCAGAGACGTGTCAGAGAAGGGAAATCCCACAATTCTCACGGAAGTATAATGAGTCATCGGTAAATCAATGGTGATTGGACCATTCTAAATTTGATAACGTGTAAATAAAATAAGATGACAGTGATAAGATTCAAATTGTTATTTATTGATCTGTAAAGTCTGCATTTTTTTATTATTACAAAGTTGTTTGTCATGTCTTGATAACATTTCTTTATAAGTCATTTAAAGTGGTATATCATGACCTTTAGTTACGAAATTCATTATGCAGCATTTAACATAATCTTTATAAAATGGATCTGTCACGCTATGAATTTGGAACAGTAAGGTATTTTACAATGTAAACATCAAAACAAAAATGAAGCGACCTACAGTATCGAGCCTGGTCAGACTACACGGCTGTGCAGGCTAGTCTGGTTTTATACTGATGGTAAAGACTATAGTGACTATTGGGTCCAGTAGGGTAAAGTTTAAACACTAGAATAATGTATTCTTTAGTTTAGTGTAGTGAATTAATTATTTTCCTCAGTTTGTTCAATATTCTTGACCAGTACATTGTTTAGTTTGATGCAACGACTTTGTGGTTTAGCACCAGGCGGGTACGATCCTTCACTGTATTATGGCACGTGGGCCATTTATTAATGCCGTTGTTTCGTATTTTTGTTGTTGATTTATTTCACTATTTTTGGAAAAGTCGGAATTTATTTCACTCCATGTTATTAAGAATTTTTTTTATACTGAAGTTGGATATATCGCAAAGCCTCTTAAAATAAAAAGAAGAAATTTTCTTTCGCTTCCTTCGAATTGGTAAAAAAAGAAAAGTTTTACTATCCGACATGCCCAATTAGTCACCATAAATTAAGAAAATAAAAAAGGCGGTTTTTATAGAAAAGTAGTCTCTTATGATAGTAAATGTTTGCGCTATTATGTGAAAATTGAAAAATGCAATGATACCTTATATTGACCAAATGTTTTCATTTTTCTGGTCTTTAAATTGTCGTCTAAATCGCTTGTTTTTATAGAAAATCATATATTGTTAACGATGGCCCATTGACTGAAAAATTCTCAAAATTGTCAACAAATATGCAAAGTTTTTTTCTTGTTATCTGTGTTTAAGGTGATGTTTGCAAACAAATATAAGTCAATAAAACTGACCTACTGAAAGATAAATATACAAGCGAGGTTTAGAGCTACTGTATTTTGAAATAGTTTAAAGGGCTTAAACAAATATACCAAAATGTTAGGGAGATTCCCTCTAGCGGCACACTATCTATAATCTAATATCAAGTGATTGATTTATGAAAGCTTATCAGTAAGGGTATTTCCAAATTTTGTTGAAACTTAAACAACCTTAGTTATAACTTATAAACAGTTTGAAGAAAATTTTCTTTATGCAAACAATATGTGGCGAATATTTCTGTACTTCGCTTTTTTTGGTGAGTAAATTTTATATATTGTTTGATTATATTAACCTGTCAATGAACACAAAATATTTAATCTCCGATAGATTTTGGGTAAGTTCCATGAGATATACACAGTGAGATGTAATTAATTGAATGTAATTTGTATCTGTGAAGTAATCATACTAAGCGTTATATAGCGCAATAGGGTAATCTGCTATACGGGTTTATAGCTTTTAGTGCCCTACGTGTTGTAAGATCGAGAACGCGTAGACCCATGTTTTTTTTCTTATTGATATGATCAACATTATTGAAGCTATGATTTTTTTGATTTTTGTTTCATTTATTTTTTATGTTTTGCACTTATTTTGGATGTCTATACTCTCTTTAAATAACATGGTTTAAGAATGAATATTTTGAATTCATTCGGATTAAAATCAATGTTTTAAGGTCTTGCTTCATATCCGTGTTGACAATTATGCAAGCATTTGCCCATTTATATTAAAATAATTATAGTGCAAAAAGAAAGTAGTAGGTCTAAAACAATGGCAACAGTAGAGATCGAACCACAGACCTTAACTGATTGTGCTGTTTCGGATATAACAACCACCTTAACAATAAGCTTAGGTGTCTTTTCAAAACATTACTATATACTCCATTTTAATTCTAGTAAACTACACGGACAAAACTGAAATGGGATCGAATATTTAATTGAGTGCTATAATGCATTCATAATTAACAAGTCAATCAATAAATTCAGACTATACTTATCAACGATTTACATTTTCATTAACAATTTAACTGTACATATTCTGATTTTATTTCATTACTAAAAGCCTACACACATTTTAAATCTGAATGCTTACAATTGTTTTATTTTTTCCAGGATACTTGAACATTTTGATTGTGAATGGGGATAAAACACAAAGTAAGACTTTTTTCCTCTCTCTAACTGTCTCATTTTTACAAAATATTTTGTTTGTTTATGTATGTAATACAGTAAAGAAAATTTTAAAACATTAAACCCGATATTAGAACTTAAAAAATGGATGAATTAAATGCTTAGTAAAGGAATCCTGCATTGTTATCAGTTTGCCTTTTACTCGTATTTTTTAATAAACCGGATTATGGTTTAATTTAATTATAACAGGGTGTCAATTTTGCAAAATGACACGTTTTTTAAAAAAATAAATAAAAACATAATGAAAATAGATAAATGCAAGTATTTTTTAAAGAGGTAATAATGATAGCTATTAAATAAATAAATAAGTAAATAAATAAATAAATAAATACAACAAAACCAAATAATAATAATAATAATAATAATAATAATAATAAAAAAAAAATAATATATATATATATATACATTGGAGATAGAATATTATGACGTTTAACATTTATTCTTTTAAAGGAAATATTTTGATAAACTTGGTTATATGGAATCAAACTCGTGATAAGATTAATATTTCAATCAAATCAAGAGAAACACGTACCACAGTTCATTCCGTGCTTGAGCACGTGTTTGTTATATCATATGTATTATACACAATCATTTGAGAGATAGTGGAAGCCGCTTTGTGCCGAGTTTAAGATTTGAGACCGCTAATCCAAGGTACGATTGTTCTCTATTCGCAGCTCACGATCTCGAGGAACCGGATAATGATGATCCTGGTCTTGATGTCGGCGTTGGTGTCGGTATTGATCAAGCTGTGAGAAGAGTAAAACGTGGTGGTTATTTTTGTAAGTATGAACTATATACAAACAACAATATATAATATATTATTAGTACTTACATTATACATTAAAAGAATATTTTTTCTCCGAGCCTATATCAACTTAATGCCGAATGTATTAGTTAACAGTTGACATACCATATCATAATAGTCATGTATCATTATCTGGTCTTCCAATCCAAGCTTAGGTATCATACTGTGTTAAATTATTTTTTTTAATAAAATTTAATAGATAAACATGTACTTGTCACAGGCAGGGTGAGGAAAATGTGCAGCCTGACTCGAACCCGGGCCACGGAATATTTTACTGCGGCTCCACGAACTATGCAACTATGCTATCCGGCAGTTTAAACACCTCTCTCCTAAATAGTGAATAGTTCTGTACCATGACATAAAACGTCTTCTTTTAGTAAATTGATTTCATAGTTGTTGAAACTTTTATGAATACAATTTCATTGTTTCTTTTTTTTCATACCTGCAGACTGTAAGCGGGTAAGTCTTCATAATTTAATTGTTTCAAAAGTTAAAGAAGTATTATTATGAAATATTTTCTTTTTCGCTGAATTTAACACATGTTTATCTCGAGTTAAGTCTGTGATGATTATAACAGTCTACTAGCTACATGATATTTCCTAGTGAATATTGTATTTCTTCCATATTTCATCTCAACAGTGATACCATTATAGCATCGACTCTTCAAATCATTTGTATTTGCATTTCAGACAGATACTAATCCGTGTGTACACGGAACTTGCAGCTCAGATGACGGTGGTCATGCTCACTATCAATGTACCTGTTATACAGGATGGACAGGAAGAAATTGTCACATTATTGGTAAGCACGTTTTAGTTATAAAATAAGCTGACCTATACTTGTTTGGCACATTGTCATTGTCTCATTAGTTCTAATAATTTCTAAGGCTTTCATTGCTTTGGAGGTACTTTCCTTTTCTGGTATTTTTATATTTGAAACAGCAGTTGCAAAGTGGTATGCGGCAGCTGTAAATGGTCTCTGTTTCTTTTATTTGTTGTTAAAGTTTTCTTGTTCTTCAGGGTCATTGGTCAAATAATGACATGTATATAATTTTGTATAAGTTTTTAATACTACTTAAGCCGATTCTATGGAAGACTATTTATGCAAATATACTTTTTATTTGAGATTTTGCCTTAGAGATCTCCTTTTCCAAAAATGTCTCAGATAGTGTGCAAAATTGAATAAACTTAGTACGTCGTGACCCTAAATTACAGGTAATCATAGTTAACCGCCTCAGCCTGTACATTACAGACTGTTCCAGCCCAATATACTGTTATAACGGAGGGACATGTGTGGCAATGCATTCTTACACCGATTATCGCTGTACTTGTTCAGAGGGTTGGGAAGGTCGAAACTGTGAACGCAGAGGTACCTTCTTATAATATTATTAGCCATTTCTATAAACATGTTTTCAGGGATACTGTTATACATGCCATGCATTAAAATATTTTTTTTCTGCAATTAAATCTGTTGCTTAACGTTCAACAAACATGTTACATAGAATATGATAAACAAGATCAACAAGGAAAGGCGGCGTTCAATGAACGCAACCCCCATATGACCCAGCAACAAGAACCAATGGCAAGGAGCCCAGGCGGACCCCAAACAAAAACAGGACAGGGCAAAGACAGAGCACGTACAGGTTAATCATTAAATGATAAATAATTTGTAACTGATTAGGAACTCAAAGAAAAGAATAAAAGATCCACAAAGGGGAAAGGGACAGGAGACCGGGGGAAGGGGGGGGGGGCAATCAAAGAAACAAAAACTAGAGGCAATGGGGAAGATACTTACCGTAGACGAGAAAACAACAAAGGACACAAGCAAAAGTGTCACCAAAACAGTATGAAACAATATAGACATACATCTGAGGAACACAGTGGGGCGCCGCCTGGGAACGGTCAGCAGCATAATAATGACTGCTGAGGAGTTTAAACCGGTTAATGGTGCACCAAACCTCGCTCTTAGCCCCACCATGTTCCTATAAACGAGACAGTGTAAATAAAATGAATCCCCGCCAAGTGAAATTCTAACAGTTGTCATGGTTACAAAAGGTTAAATAAGTAAAACACTAAAATGATCATGTAGAAACATATAAAAGTAGACCCAATGACCATAATAAAAGTACTCAATGTCCTAAAGGAAGACATAGCAACAAGAAAATCACCTACAAGGGTCCGACGAAGCAAGGCAGAAGACGAACATTAAGACAATTCAGTCCCAAAAGGCTTTACGAACTATCCATCATAGAGTCTCCCACTTGGTCCGTCAGATGCAATCAAAAGAGGAAAGCGTAGTGTCCAACTGTAAAAGGGTTGAACACTAAACATGCAGTATGTCTTAAAATAGTAGGGTTATAACCTCTTTTAATAAAACGTTTAATGATTTTAGTAAAAACAGCAGAAAAATTACCATGACCCAAAATCTTACAAAGTTTGTAAATCACATCGCCGGCTAATCCCTTGTCGCAGAAGAGTTTTTAAATCACTATTGAATTTAGAAATTAAATCAAAGTTACGATTGTAAAATTTAGAAAAATATTTCCGTAATTTATGATAGCGGTAGCCATGTTTTAGAAGCTTGCTGGTAATAAAAATATTCCGCTCGTTGAAATCCTTTACGTTGCTACAAGCTCTAGCGAATCTAATTAACTAGTCTAGAATCTAAGAAGTCTATATATTCATTATTGTTTGGCTTTTAACAGGTACACATGCGAGATAACACAATCTTCGTTTAGCATTATCTCCTGTAAATGATATTTTCTAATAATTATAAAGTTCTCTATAGTATGCAAAATACTTAAGTTAAATACAGGCATTATATAAGAAAAACATATTTTTAGCTTCCACGATCATTAGTATAAATATATTGTCATTTAGTCTTTGGTACGTTTTGGATTTTAGACTGTTCCAGTAACATGTATTGTAAAAATGGGGGGACATGTTCTGTCACAAATGGAGGGTCAAGCTACGCTTGTAAATGTGCTGCCGGCTGGACAGGTGTCAATTGTGAACACGTTGGTAAGTCAATAAAATCATCGGTTGTTTTGGGTCTATATTAAGCTTATAATACCTCAGTGTGAAGGGAATTTTATTTAATGCCTTTTTGATACCATGAAGTCACGAATATTTTGTAGCTTGAAATGAAATAACTTTAAAACTGCCCCACTCTTTATATAAATTGAAAACCACCCGTACATTCAGAAAGATATTTGTGAGTCACACGGGTTATTGATTAAACATTTGAAGTAAAATATAAAATTGAAAACAACCATTGCAAAAAGCGAAGTTTTGGACCTTAATTACCTGTATACTCACCATATACATTTGGATGGACATAATGTCACTTTAATCGAATTCTCTCTCACGAATAAGTATCTTCAGTTTTTATTTTAAATTTCGCCTTAGAGATCTCCTTTTTCTAATATAGCTCAGATATTGTACAACGTTGGATAAACTGTGTACGTCGTGACTCTCTAAATCATAGTTAACCACCTCAGCTTGTATATTACAGACTGTTCCAGTCCAATATATTGTTATAACGGAGGGACATGTGTGCCAATCTATTCTGACACCGATTATCGATGTATTTGTTCAGAGGGTTTGGAAGGTCGAAACTGTAAACTCAGAGGTACATTCTTATAATATTATTAGCCATTTCTATAAACATGTTTTCAGGGATACTGTTATACATGCCATGCATTAAAATATTCTTTTTCTGCAATTAAATCTGTTGCTTAACACTCAACAAAAATGTCACATAGAAGTCTATATATTCATTATTGTTTGGCTTTTAACAAGTAAACAAGCGAGACAACACAATCTTCGTTTAGAATGAAAGTGTTAAACTGCATTATCACTTGTAAATTATATTTTCTAATAATTATAAAGTTCTCTATAGTATGCAAAATACTTAAGTTAGATACAGGCATTATATAAGAAAAAAATATTTTTAGCTTCCACGATCATAAGCATAAATATATTGTCATTTTAGTCTTTGGTACTTTTTTGGATTTTAGATTGTTCCAGTCACTTGTATTGTAAGAATGGGGGGACATGTTCTGTCACAAATGGAGGGTTAAGCTACACTTGTAAATGTGCTCCCGGCTGGACAGGCGTCAACTGTGAATACGTTGGTAAGTCAATACAATCATCGGTTGTTTTGGTCTATATTAAGCTTATAATACCTCAGTGAGAAGGGAATTTTATTTAATGCCTTTTTGATACCATGAAGTTGTAGCTTGAAATGAAATAACTTTTAAACGGCATGTGACATGTAGAGCAATTATCAAAGCATGACAGATAAAAGAAACCAACCATATCTAAGTAGTTCATCCTTACTTCAATGGTAAGACATATAGTGTATGGCATTTATGATAATGAGCAAGATTGTTCAAGTATGTAGATTAGACTGCTGATGCAAGAACTATCAAGTGCCAACAATTGAAACAGATGTTATATAATATTGTAGGGTTTTGGACGAGATGCATTTTATTTTTTATTTAAAGATTTATTATGTCAATTTACTGTTACAACTGAGGAATTTTGGTATACACATAAAAACAGAAAATCAAAACAACAAAATTGTAACGGGAAAAATATGTTTGCAATGTAGCAACATAGGGCTTTGAATTTCATTGACATATTTATATCAATATTATTAGATTGTTCAAGTCCAGTTTATTGTCATAATGGAGGAACATGTAATTTGATCCACGGTGGACGAGGGCATACATGTAGTTGTGCTGGTGGCTGGACAGGTACAAACTGTGAATTAGCAGGTAAGGCTTGATGATATAAAATATTAAATGAATAAATCTTTAAAACATGTTGGAAATATACCAGTGTGTGGCCTTGTTTGACGTAGACGTGTATATCTTTATTTTTACCTTAAGATTGTTCTAGTCCATTATACTGTCACAACGGAGGGACGTGTTCTTTGATCAACGGCGGAAGAGGGCACACATGTACGTGTGCTGATGGTTGGAAAGGACAAGACTGTGATTTAGTGGATTAGATCTTTTGGTTTGTAATCGATATAAAAGAAGAAAAAATACTATTTAGTTACAGTTTACTTCAGATGAAATTAATATTTTATTGATTCATTAGTATATTTTAAATCTAGTTTTGAGATATCTCAAGTAACTTAACTGATGCTTTGAGAGAGAGAGAGAGAGCATAAATGCAGTTGTGCTCATCGCTGGAAAGGACTTTCTTTGGAATTTGTTGGTATGATTATATACAAGAAATCAAATGGATACAAAAAAATGATTGTAAGATATCATTATGAAATTTTGAATAACGCTTAATTATCAATTGTTTTATTTTCAGATTGTTCAAGCCCACTTTACTGTCATAACGGAGGGACGTGCAATTTGATCAATGGCGGGAAAGGGCACACATGTACTTGTGCTGATGGCTGGAAAGGACAAAACTGTGATTTAGTTGGTAAGATTTGTTACTTTATAAATGATATAAAAGCGTTAAAGGAAAGTTATTGTTGGTTTTTACTTTAAACGATAAGTATGTGCATTAACTATTGAATATGTTTTATTTTCTTTTTCCAGACTGCAAAAGTCCACTTTATTGTCACAACGGAGGGACATGTAATTTGTTCAACGGCGGAAGAGGGCACACATGCAGTTGTGCTGGTGGTTGGGAAGGTCCAAACTGTGATTTAGTTGGTAAGATTAAATTTTGTATTATTAATATAACAGAGTAAAAACTAGATTTATATAATTGATGTCTACTTTAAACGTTTTGTATGTTTCATTAACTATTAGATATGTTTATTTTCTTTTTCCAGACTGCAGTAGTCCACTTTATTGTCACAATGGAGGGACATGTACTTTAATCAACGGCGGAAGAGGGCATACATGTAGTTGTGCTGGTGGCTGGAAAGGGCCAAACTGTGATTTAGTAGGTAAGAGTTTCTGACGTGTAGTCGATATATGAGACATAAACCAATAATGATTAATTACAATTCACTTAAGAAGGATTTCATGTTTCATTAACTCATGAATATGTTTTAAATCTATTTTTATATTCTTGACCGATGTAAGTTCAGATCCCGACAGGGACTTGGATTCCTTCATGTGAAGAAGCTATCTAGCTAGCTTACGGAACATCGGTTGTCCTACTCTGGTGTCCGTTATGCATAAAAGTGTACCCGAGTTCATCCTCTACTAGTCAAGCTGGAAAATCGCCATATTATCTATTTTATGCTGGTGCGAGGTAAATCTCAACCATTTTTTGACATTGTTTAAGTCCACTTTGTTGTCATCACGGAGGGACATGTAGTTTAATAAGCAGCGGAAGAGAGCATATATATAGTCGTGCTGGAGGCTTGGAAGGTCCCAACTTTGATTAAGTTGGTAAGATTAAATACGTATTAATGATATAACAGTGTGAAACAAAAATTTATATAGTTTATATTTACTTCAAAGTTTTGTATGCTTCATTAACTATTGGATATCTTTTTTTTTCTTTTTCCAGACTGCAGTAGTCCACTTTATTGCCACAACGGAGGGACATGCAATTTGATCAACGGTGGAAAAGGGCACACATGTAGTTGTGCTGGTGGCTGGGAAGGGCCAAATTGTGATTTAGTAGGTAAGATTATCTGACGTGTAGTCTATATATGAGACAAAAACCATTTCTGTTTTATTACAATTTACTATGTGTCATTAATTCATTTATATATTTTAAATATATTTTTAACATTGTTCAGGACAATTTTACTGTCAAAACGGATGGACAAGTACTAAAATTAAAGGCGGAAGATGTCATACATGAAGTTGTGCTGCTGGCTGGAAACATTGGAAATGGCAAAACTGAGTGAGATTAATTAGTATGTATATGATAAGCAGTGTAAGACAATATTAATAAAGTTGCTAATTACCTCAAATGATATGTTTTCCTTTTCTTTTTTCCAGACTGCACTAGTCCACTTTATTGTCATAACGGAGGGACGTGTAATTTGATCAATGGCGGAAAAGGGCACACATGTAGTTGTGCTGATGGCTGGACAGGGCAAAACTGTGATTTTACAGGTAAGGTAAATAACTGCGTAAATTTATAATTCACTATAAAAAGTTTAATCTTAAATAGTGTTTTTTTAACAAGCAACACTATTGTGTTTCATAATTAATTGATATATATTTCATAATTAATTGATTTATTTCTTTTCTTTTCTTCAGACTGCAGTAGTCCAATTTATTGTCACAACGGAGGGACATGTACTTTAATCAACGGTGGAAGAGGGCATACATGTAGTTGTGTTGGTGGCTGGAAAGGGCCAAATTGTGATTTAGTAGGTAAGGTTTTAACTCTGATCCCCGTTCAAAATTCTGTTTTATTAAGTGCCACCCATTCTTTTGTCGTTTAGGGAACACCCTTTCTTTTACGTGTGGACCATACGCCGCCTTAAATGGAATGGCACTAACGTGTCACATTGAAGGCTCTATTATATCTGTCAAATGAATACATCTGCGGATGTTTCAAAATTCAAAATTTTACCATTTCATGTTAAATGTTTAGTATTACTTAAGACGGTACTAAGAAGCGTGGACGGTAGATTGCACTTTCCAGTACCGTCAAAGAATAGGCTCAATCAAACAGATCCTGCAACATTTTCAATTTTTCCGGTTTTGAACTTTGTTTAGGGAATATATTTCTCTTAATTTTGAAAAAACAAGATTTGTATAGTCGCTTCAAAAGATGTGTTTGTTTCAATAAAAAATAATGTTTCCTGTCCTTTTTCCAGACTGCAGTAGTCCACTTTATTGTCATAACGGAGGGACATGTAATTTGATCAATGGTGGAAAAGGGCACACATGTAGTTGTGCTGATGGCTGGAAAGGGTCTAATTGTGATTTAGTAGGTAAGGCAGACATATACAAGATCCAATATACCTAAGAAAGAATTGTAACCTATTTAAGTTTATGTTATCTATTTAAGAAATTAGTATTGCAGTCTGTCTGTGCAGACTATTTAATATCATTGATTTTTTTTCTTTGTTTTTGTCGAAACCCACTTTAATGCAATTTAGGAAGAACATAAGTTTGAACATCAATAGAAAATGTATAAATGCAGGTTTGCTGGAGGTCGGAAATAATGGAATTGTGAATAAATTTGGAGGATATGTTTAATCATAAACTTTTCAATGGATAATAGAGTACGACTTTGATAATGTTCAATCCATGGCAACAAGATAAAGATTGTATTTAGTTTACAGTTTTTTGTGCTTCTTCGCAGATTGTTCAAGTCCGATTTATTGTCACAATGGAGGAACGTGTAACTTGATCAACGGCGGAAAAGGACATAACTGCAATTGTGCAGATGGCTGGAAAGGAGCTAACTGTGATTTAATAGGTACATTGATTTAAACATAGAAGAAGCTTAATGATATGAACAAACAATATTGTAGTCTGCAATTCATCTCGAGAATCGAGAATAAGGCGTAATATTATCCAAATTATTCACTGCATTGTAAAAGTAAAAAGCTTGGTGATGTCAAAAAAGAAAAATGGATAAAAAGGGGAATTGGAAAGCAACAAAAGTATATGCAAATTGCAGACTCGGATAAATTGTATATGACAAGTTTATTTACTGTTTACACTGTCCAGAGCATTGTTTGATTGACATGTAAGAGATGCTACTTTGCCTGAACCCTAGATATTGTAAAATATTTCGTATACATCGCGTATGCCCTTTAAAATTAAATGATTAAAATGATGATGATCTACGTTTTAAATCCACATTTCAGATTGTTCAAGTCCACTTTACTGTCTTAATGGAGGGACATGTAATTTGATAAATGCTGGAAGAGGGCATACATGTAGTTGTGTTGGTGGCTGGAAAGGAACAAATTGTGATTTAGTAGGTAAGTTTCGTAACAGAGAAGAAGGAAAACTTGAAATGTAAAAATCCGATTTGATGTAAAAGCATTAAACGATAGGGTGTATTAACCGTTAAATTTATCAATATTTTTATTTAAAAAATCTTTTTTCTCTTTTCACACTTAAAGCATTTGTTATTTAAATTTTGGAATTGTATGATAACGAACCTTTTAAAAATATATCCAGATTGCTTGAGTCCACTTTACTGTCTCAATGGAGGCACTTGTCATTTGATCAACGGTGGAAGAAGCCATATGTGCAGATGTTCAGATGGTTGGAAAGGCACAAATTGTGACTTTGTAGGTAAGGCTAATTTTCATGTGAATGAAATACTTGTGACTTTGAAAGGTTAGTTTAATTTTATATGAAAGAACAATTCAGATAATGATCACTTAAACAGGTCATAATAAGAATAAAACTATGTTTATAAGATTACTAGTACATGTATATAATACGGAGGCTTACGCGCTGTTGTCAGTTAGATTGAAATTAGATTAAGTCAAGTTCGCTGAAGTGACATATCTAAGGGACATGTAATTTATTCAATGTATAAATGAGTTGTAAGAGACAAAGTGTAATTTCGCTTTTATGATTGAATTGAACGATATTATGATATAATAATGGTGAATTTTATCATTCTTATCTATTGCAGAGTTTTGAGTATTTTGATTTTTTTAATTTTTTTTTCTTTTGTCTTTAAGATTGCACTAGTCCGCAATATTGTCACAATGGGGGAACATGTAATCTGATAAACGGCGGAAGAAGCCATTCTTGTAGTTGTGCTGAGGGTTGGAAAGGAACTAATTGTGATTTTACAGGTATATTAAATGTTAATAATGGTATTTTCATTTTATGCTTTTGACTTTTTAATTACTTTTGAGTACTATTAAGTTAAGATTTATTAGATAGGTTCGTTGACCGGAAATTGTTCAAAATCTAAAAAATCATTATTTTCGTTCCGAATGACTTTGAATTGTCATTTCTCAGATTAAATTCATTTTTAGATTGTTCTAGTCCACTTTATTGCCACAACGGAGGGACATGCAATTTGATCAACGGCGGAAGAGGGCACACATGCAGTTGTGCTGATGGCTGGAAAGGACCCAATTGTGACTTAGTAGGTAAGGGAAATTAGTTGCTGTTTGTTTAAAGTTTCATATGATATATGCTCCTTTATAAATCAACAATTGACCAAATTTGTATAATTTGTATAAATAGTTCCTATAGGAACGTTTTCATTCAATTCAAGACATATCTTTAGGTTTGGGTGTGTGAAAACAAAGTGAGTATCGGATTTGTTAGTAAGTAAAAAAATTACTTCCATTGCTATATCCATCTCTCTGACAACTATATATTTATGGTGGCTGATTTGGCCAATTATTGTGTTTTTGACTTTCGGGGAGAAGACACGTCGCCACAAAGACACGATTATCGAAGACACAAAAATGGCAGAAATCAGACGCCAAATATAAAAGGGATTTCGAGCATTTCTAATATATTATACAATATATTATGTTCTATGTATTTTACTAAATATCTAAATAGTAAGACCTCTAAATGTATTAATATACACTTTGTATTTTACTAAATATCTAAATAGTAAGACCTCTAAATGTATTAATATACACTTTACTAGTTAAATACTTGTATAACGCAGCAAAATATGATATATATGCAGATTGCACAAGTCCGATACATTGTGGAAAATATGGTGACTGCCAGCTGACAAATGGGGGTCGTGACAAAACTTGTATTTGTTTTTATGGGTGGAAAGGTCCGAAATGTGAAAATATTGGTATATATATTACTTATCTTTAATTTGTCGTGTTTCGATTTACTATCATGATCAATAATTTATACTTACATGATCAATAATTTATACTTAAAATAACATTGTTTTGCTGGTTTGTAAGTTACAATAAATTCGTGCATAATTATTTGCTTAATTACAGGCTAACCTTTATTAGAATAGTGGCAATAACCGCCACCTCTTAGTTAACTGATGTACATGTAACCTTTTTCTTATTTTTAAAATCAAATGGGACTGCGAAATATTTTCTTCTAGACAAGAATATGGTACATCATGTTGTTATCTAATATTTTATACACAGTAAAATTGATTTTCAGACGTTTGCACGCCATATAAAAAGGCCGACTTTGTATTTGTTATCGACACTTCGATGAGTGAATATAATATTACATTTGATAGGCATAAACAATACGTTCAGAACTTCATATCCAAATATCAAGTAGGGCCACCAAACTATCGATACCAGTTTAGTCTTGTGACATTTTCTCGACAAGCGACCGTTCATTTTTACTTAAATACTTTTAACAACAATAGCGAGATACAGAACGCAATAGATCACCTAACAGTAGATTGTGGTGGCCCGAGTTTGACTGGAACTGCTTTGAAGAAAGTACGCGAAGACGTTTTACAGACGTCAAATGGTGTGAGAGATCCGGTTGATGTCGAACGCTATATAATATTATTATCGGATGGACTGTCGTCGGACCCGAATATTGTGATATCAGAGGCAAATGCTTTGAAAGTCAGCGGTGTGAAGATTTACTCTGTTGGTAGTGGATTGTCCATACGTCATGAGGAATTGTTAGAAATATCATCATTTAATCATTTTGTGTTTCCAATGGCAACAGAGGATTGTTTACAGACACTCCTTAAATACACCATGTTTGGTTGTGACAGTATGTTTACTCATTTTTATTTTAATTTTACTTTACTTTGCGTGTATTTATTTTATTGTGATATTATATCATGGTTTAATTATTTTGTTATAAACATGTCATTCCATAAAATTTTGTAAAAGAATACATAATACGTATACATTATTCTTAAGATAGCGTTCATATTCTTTAAATTTATTGATTTGATTACTCTGTTATGGAATTGGTTCAATATTTCTTTCAGAATGTTCAACATATGTGTCAGATGTTGCTGTTGTTATGGATGTCTCAGCTAATAAAAACCATAGAAACTTTGATATGCAAGTCAAAGCTGTATCTTATCTTTTATCACTTACTGACATTGGCCCAAATGCAACCCAGTTCAGTTACTCTACGTTCACGAACGACACAGTGAGTGTATATAATTTTACGACCCATCACGATCGAGTCAGTCTAATAGCTGATGTTAATAAGAAAACAAGACAGGAATACAATACAAATGTTAACATAACCCGTGCTCTGAATGATGTGAATAAAAATGGATTTTCAAATTTGAGAGGACCGAGGCCATATGCAAGAAAGATCCTAGTTTTGGTGACTTCAGGAAGCATGAATGATACTCAAGAAATAAAAACGGCGGCAAAACAGCTCAAAGACTCTGGAATAATAATTGTTACCATAGGTACTGGTAGAAATGCTCACTGGATCAACTTGCGTAATATATCGTCGGACCCAACGCTAACGTTTGTACTAGGGGATGACAACCATATCGGCGTTAATGTGCTAGACTCTCTTAGAACAACTTTATCATATGATTATTGTTCAAATGTATAACATTGTAAAATACATGCTTTAATTATATAATTTTCAATATTGCCATGACTTTAGTTACACTGTGTTTATCTATTGTTTTATCATATATTGTGCAGACATCTGTCACTGCATTATAATAAAGACATTGAAGAATACGTTTAATGAAAATTTCATGAGTTTAGTGATCGGACTTTCGTTAGTAAATTGTTAAAAACTAATTATAGAAACTAAGTGTTTGAAATTATATGTTGTCAATGAGATCGTTCTATTCCTTGATGTTTTTGGTATATTTAATTCCTTTTGTCGGCTCTAATTAGTGTATCACATTCGCCCTATGTAAAGATTCACAACATAATTTCAACAACTAAGTAGATAAGTGTCTGTTAAGTCTGCGTTAATTTGAGCGGCCCTATACTAAAGATAATAATCTTTTTTACTTTGATGATGACCTTGCTTTGTACCAGAAAGTATTGTCACTATATCTGTTTTGATTACTTTCGCCTATGAAAGAAATGATGAATATATGTTTCAACCCTTTACCGCATGACCATATTATGAAAAATGGCTGTTTTCATTAAAAAGCCTCCTGTTATAAGTTCAAACTGCAACGAAACTATGAAAAATGCTTCAGTACTGATGAAACTTGGCACAAAAGTTGACTGGACCATAGCCTTTGTAACAGCATGCTCAATCTTTAATTTCCTGTTACCATGGCAACGGGGGACGTCTCAAAATTGCCAAAATTCACTATTGAAAGGCTTCAAACCCCCGAAACAGAAAGGTGATGTGCCTGATGTACCTTTTTGATTGTGCGGCGCCGAAAAAGTGATCACTTTTTTATCAACATTTTTTTATCGACATTTTTTTTCACTATTTGAGGCCTTAAAAGGGGAAGGGGTTGAAAGTGCGTTGTTTTGCGTATAAACGAGGCAAAGGGTTAAATGTATGTACTATGTATGATCTGCTCTTTCGGATTTAACACATATTGTGTAAATATCTTTGATCCGTCGAGATTGCAGGCTATATTTTGTGTAATGAATTGTCGTTCTTACTTTTCTCGCGTATTTTGCTTGTATACAATTGGTTGTATCATATTTCAGCTTAAAGAGACTTGATTTATTTAAGACAATAAACGGGCTTTTAACAATTTTAAGAAATCATTTGGCATGGGAAGGGAAACTGTAAAAAAGTAAAATCACGGCATTATTTGATGTAACATAATTCAATACCATACAGAATTTATGTAAATAGTTGTACACGTTTAAATTTACATTATTATTTCTTAATAACATTCGAATAATAATAATAATAATAATAATAATAATAATAATAATAATAATGATAATAGATATTATATAAAGATTTTAAACAGTAAACATAAATTGCTGATGTGGTTGATATATCAAAGCTACCACAATAATACAATGATAAAAAACAAAAACAACAACAACAACAAAAGCAACAACACCAACAAAAAATGATATAAGTCTGAAGTTGTTTGTCTGACCCTTTTAAATTAAATAAAGCGTGATCAAATGCAATGTACCGGTATACAGGTTACATTCAATAAAACAGATAAAGTGATAAAAGGGAGACAAAAAATGAATAAAAAATTAAATAGATAGATAGATTAGTAAATAAATAAATAAGCTATTTTAATAAATAAATAAATAAATAAATAGTAGATAAATGAAAAACTGTTCTTTACCTATAAATATGCGTGTATAGATTATCAAGACAACATCCTCAACAGTCCTAGAATCAGAATTATTGAAGTTAACAACACAAGTGCCCAGTAGGACACCGCACAGGAAATGGTAGCGGCAGAGGTAAAATACGTAGGGTACAGTCAGCATATACGAACTCAAATACCAACCACAAACGTTATATACAAGATTTAAATGCCTCTCAATATAATTGTTGTATCATCTTACGACCTATATCTGTATTACTTCATAAAAATGTTTAAATTACCTTTAATTATCACGCAATTTTAAACCTTTAGTTTTGTGCTGACTTAACATATACATGAATCTTGCACCGTATTATAAGAGGTACCTATGAATAGCCCATAACGAAACAAAAAAATACAATAACTTTTGAAAAAGAGCATGATCGGGTTTCTTTGTTATCCAAAAGATATAAACGATGAATAGTAAACAAAATCAGTTCTTGCATTACCTCCGTCTGATAAACTTAAAAGGGAATAGTGCCCTCAACGATTTTAAATTGATGACTTTTATAAGAGTTTCAGCGATAAATACACTGGAAAAATGTTGGAATACAAGGATATCAAACAAATGAAAAAAGTTTATGCTATAATTTTGATCTGTTTATATGTTATAAGTTTTATTCTGGTAAATATAGGATTTTACTCGCCTGAATGGTACAAGTTATATGAACAGTGGCCAGATGTTCCTTGGTGGTGGTGGCCTTCAAGAAACAGGGTTTGTAATGAGGTTGGTCTAGTAAGCGGTGACTGTAGGTATCCATACACCGGTATAGACAAAGGACAAGGGGAAAAAGGTAATTTTAGATGAAATAAATTAAATAAATAAAAACATGTTTTATTGTTTAAGTCAAGTCAAATCAAATAATCTATTGGCAAAAACATATGCATGTTAATCGCCAAGAAGCATTTTGGCGGCAAAATACAAAGTACTGAAAAGTAAGATACATTGTAAATTATACATATGTTTCAGTTAACAATATATTAAAAGATTCAATTCTTAATTGCATCGCTGAATAAACAAATTTTGTGAAGTTAACAATTAAATTTTTGTTTGTACATTTTATTATCGATATGAATTTACTTAAGCCATGAAAAATAATATCTAGGTGAACATGCTTTCCTTAAGTCATTATAATATGGACATACTAATAAAAATCACCGGCACAGAGCCAGGCCAGTCTGCACATCGGTGCTATATACTTTTTGTATTTTGTAATTAAGATTCTTTCATTTTTCCATCTGACTGTTTCAAATTTTAAGTAGTGAAATCAATTATACACCCCAGCAAGTTAGAGGTTAATAGCAAGTACGTGCTTTATATTATATATGTCACATTTTAATTTCAGGCTTTGTTCTCCGGACAACTTTCTATATGATGATGACGTCAATTTGTGTATTATACATGTCTTTCCTCTTCTTGGTTACCGGTATAATATTCAATATGCTTGAAAGTCCAATATTCATGGGTTTCGGGTCAATTATTGCCGGGGTTCTGTACCCAGCAGCTGGCAAGTATAATTATATTAACATTCTAAAATAGTTTTAAACATATATGCAGATGTAATGCTATGTGATAGTTATGGCTAGATACAATTTACGAATATTATTATACTATGATTGATGAATTCTGTTTTGCCGTGTTAACGTTTTGATGCCGCGCAAAAGTCATAAGGTAGCTTTGATCTACAAAAACAATGTATCTTTATTAATGTTTCGTTTCTCTTCTTTGTTGAAATGTTAATGAGGGGGATAAAGTCAATATTAAGTCGTGATAAACGTGAGAATGGGGAAGAAAAACATCCGTGGGTTAAAAGGTCAAAGTCGCCGATGTAAAATCACTTGCCCCTCACCGGTTTGAACTGAAATTCCGCAGGATGCTATCCATCAAGGTAATGGATGATCGATGCTTCTATTCAAGTAAGCTGATAACCTTTACAGTGTCGGTTTGACATATTCCAACATAGAAATAAAACATTATAGTTCGTTGTTTGTTAAGTTCCAAGACACATATTACTTACTATTCAAGGTATTATAAACTTTATGTGCTCATTTACTTTATATTCTAGCTGTTTTGACGATAGTTGCAAGCGTCTATGCGGAGCTAAATAACAGGAGTAAGATTGGCTACGCTGCCATCATCACTAATATTGGCGGAGGCCTCATGCTGATTTGCGTAAGTAACAAAGTTTCATCTTTACATTTGTAAGACTACCTGCGCGTTTGATAAAGTAGACAGACGACTAAATGTTTAAATGGCATTATACATGTGTGGCTTCACGTACTAAACACCGCAAATAATTGAAATATGCCCAGTTGAACAGAAAATAATGCCATTATCAATATTAAATTATGTTACTCAATCTCTTTTAATTTAAATTAGTTAAATTTAACATAGGATACTTTCTTTTTTAAAGTAATAGAAATACGATTTGTCATAGTTTAGAACGGTTCACTATAAAGGGAAGATGTGTAAGCGACCGGATATCTTAGTCGGTAGAGCCGCGGAACGGTCAGGCTGCACCCTGAACGGGACCCTCGGTATACCGTACCATGTATCCGGCAGCTTTCCCATCTCCCCTAAAAAGTGAACAGTTCTGAACCGTGAGAGGCAAAATGTGTAAACTTTAAAAAGTAACGTAATAAGTAAGCAATACATTTAGTTTTCAAAATAATTTCTTTTTTTTATCTTGTTGTCCATTTCTTTCCCTTTTCAGTATGTCATGCTGAGAATGTACAAGAAAGTATTCAGGAGAATGAAAAAGTATCTAGAAGTCAATGACTAAAAGAGAACTGTTTAACTTTCTACCGGTGACGGACTAGTGTGAGAATGAGCTATTTTGGAAAAAATATCTTAATATAGTTTATGTTAATTATGTGCGTAAAGTTTGAGTTTTAAATATTAAATACAAACAGAGCATTAAAATGTATCAAATTATTATTTTTACCTAATTAAAAAAAGAAAGGAATTAAACCGAAGCCTTCATGCGACTACTAAATTTTCCCGTAGACCAAGATCCACATTTGTGCCGCATGATCATGATCTGCACTGGTCGCTATTCGACTAGTATATTTCTAATTTTTCCCTAATTAACTAATGGTCTGATTCAGATAAAATAATGGACAAGTCTATTTTAAATATTTAGCGTGGTGGGGGTTTATTTACTATTAGAAAGCGTCATTTTAAGTAATAAAACAAAGACAAACATTTCTGTTGTCTTCGCAACTTTCTTCAATAGATGAAAGTCTCTGAAATCTAAATATTGTTGACCCATTTCAAATATATGAACAATTTAAGTTTTAATTTTCTCTCTCATCTGTGTTGATTTTTTCCATCCGCTATATTTTTGTTTACTTGGTCAAAAGCGATAGTTCAGATCACAGTGTAAAGTCACTAAACTGTAATGATCCTGAATTTTCTATCCTCCCTGTTTCATGTGTCTTAATTGTTTGTCAATACTCTGAAATCCAACACAGCCAGTAACTTTAATTTTGGACAAATGTTTCATATGTAAACCAAAGTTATATAACTAAGGCGTATTAGACGTAAGTGAAGTGAATTCTAAGCATCGATAATCAACAGGCCCGACATATTTAATATGTTGATCGTAGCTAAGGAATACTTTTATTACTTGACTTTCTGAGTTTGATAGACTTAACAGTATAGTTAATTTGTATTGTTTCATTTTTCAACCCAAAACATTTGCATTTTGGATAATAGACTATAAAAAATTACCTTACACCAAGAATAGAGAATTTCGGTTATAATATTAGTGTCAGTATTATACAAGTTTTATTTATTTACACAGCTACTGTGTAATTAACATTACAAATTATATAAAATGCACGTCGCTTGTAAAATTGATATACCATGACACTGTATTGTCAAATTATTATAATGGATCTTATATCAGACAGCATCCAATAGACGAATTATTGCGTTGTTCTCTTTGTGTTCTCAAAAATGAATGTCTGCCCCGATCCAATATTTGCTAAGCTCTGATGATGTTGCTGTGTACCCGTATTTCTATAATAGTCATTACCTGAAATAAAATGAACATAATTTTTTTTTCTTGTACATTGAACATCACACAGCGCGATGCCAGAAACAAACATCATAAATCGGGTATATGTACATTAAGTGTATTCGAGTAATTATTTAAAATAAACATAGGATATTACTTTATGTTTGGTGTGAAAAAATAATAATATTTCCTATAAATTTCAGCTATTGGCAGTTCTATAAGAATTTCACCACAACCTATATGTTAACAACAGAGCACATGTCAATGTCTGTTGTTAAATGTATTGTTATTCAAATGAAAGATCAGAATAGGGATCGATCAATCGATATAATGATATAAATTGTAATTGACGAGAGAAGTAAAGCGGAATAATAGTGTGTCATCCAATCTTTTTTGTTTCCCTTTGGTCAGATGGTTTTCAGTATGACCTCGAACAAATACAGAGACAGACTGAAAGACAGATAGATAGACAGGCGGACGAACAGAGAAACTAACGGTGAACAGGCGGGCGGAGATACAGACAAACTGACACAGATCGACAATCATTTGGTGCAAGATGAACAGGACATCTTATTATTGTTTTGAAATAGTATATCTTTTCTTCATGCGCTTGTTTTATTATAATTCTACTATCGTCATCAAAACATGTACTTTATCTTTAGAATAGTTCTTTAAAGATATCAAGTTTTACAAAACGACTATAGAGAGACTCAAAAGTATCTTATTTAAAATGATCATCTACAATAAGCATAGTTTAAGCAGAATTTATTTTAGTTCTATGATATGATATATATACAACTCAGATTCACAATAATCGGATGATTTAACATTTATGTGGAAATACGCAATATTTATCAAACCACTCACTAGCTGTGTGTTATGTATTTTTCTGTATCATAATAATGAACATTATATGGTTGTGCAAAACACATCTGATTTATATATACAATGTATGACTATGTAAACCTAAACAGTAGCATCCTTTCGTACGAACAACGATAGATCAAATATGACAGTATTAAGTCACAAATTCATTAAGATATAATTTATAAACTATTAAGAATGCATTTTTCTGATTTTAACAAAATGTGAAAACACTATTCTTTTAAGTGTAAATGATAAAACATGTCATTTATCTATGTAGAAACAAAATTGATTGGTAATATATAATATTTCACCCTATATCACCCTCTCTGTCTTTGATGGTAGCGAGAAGCCGTTTCATTTCTCCATTCACAAAAAGAGAAAGATTTGTGATTAAAACTTAAAAGCTTATACACATCCTCAGTTGTTGAAGATTCATTCTTTTAGGGCTAGTAGCCCTCACTGGAAATCTAGAGACTTCTAAAAATGTAAATGGTTACCAAGTAAATTGTTGCATTTGCTCATATTTAACATATAAGATCGTAAACCATAAATGAGAGGTGTTAAAAATAGTGAAAATACTATCGGGTCATGTGACACGCGACTGGGCTGAAATTGTGGTGACAATGTCACACCATCAACATATCATTTACTAATGATTTGATCAAATCAATATGGGAACAATGACTATATAATAACCAGTCATTTCAGCATGACATAACAAACTATACAAGTCTGAAAACTCCTTCAAGTTTACAATCTTACATTGTTTTTGTATGAATGCTAGCAATCTTAACGCGTCGTCTGACTGAAGATTTACAATAGCTGAGTGTTCAACACTTTCAATGTCTATATATAATTGTTCAATTGAAACAATGTCTTTGGTTTTTTTTTATAAAAGAAAGGTTTAGCTATGTAATATATGTTTAAAGTTTAAACAGTCAAATTCATTCTCTTAACTTCCGTGTCCATGGAACACCTAATGTACATTTCGTTATTTCTTTTAAACAAATCTTAATTAAAATGTAATAAAACAAGACATTTTTGTATACGATAAAAATGGAGGAATACAAGGCAAGGAAAAGAGTGAATCTAATTTACGCTATAATTCTTTTGTTTATTTATTTGATAAGTTTTATTCTGCTTAATGTGGGATTTTACGCGCCAAAATGGTACAAGCATTTTGTACAGGTTGGTGACAGAGATTGCTCGGAGGTTGGATTGGTCAGTGGCAAGTGTAGATATCCTTACACTGAGATGGACAAAACAGTGGGTGAAGCAGGTAATATTTCTGCTACATAAATGGAAATATATGAAAATACAAATAACTACGCCATAATATTTTTATTAAAACATGACAACCACACTCTTCCCTATACACCTTTCTCCCACCCCTACCTCTCCCCCTTCCCATAAAAAAAGAAAGAAATATTTTCACAAGCTGAATTGTATTGAAAAATGGCTTCAAAAAGATTTATTGTTTTACTTAGTGCTTCCACATTATTATACATTATATCTTAATACAACCCTTTTGTTGTCTGCAAATAGAATATAACGTTAGTCTTTCGTATTTATTTTAGATGATTTTTTTCATGTTTTTTTTTGTTATCGTAATTTTTTATTTGTAAATAAATAATTTCAATAACGGATCCGGATTTAAGTTCTTAATAAGCATCGGTTTAGTTATAAGCCCAAAACGCATCTGGACTATTCAATCTTCTTGTAAGTATACTTTCTGTATACTTTCAGTAATTTATCTGACCAATGCAAATAAATAATGCAATATCCCTAGCAACAAAAGTTTTAATTGAAACTTTCTTTACAGGTTTTGTTATGCGTGCAATATTCTACATGGTATTGACAGCGATGTGTTTTCTATACATGTCGTTCCTCACACTGGGTTTTGGTATCGCATTCAGTTTGCTTGAAAACCCAGTATACATGTCTTTCAGCTCTATTATTATGGGAATTCTTTATCCTGTGGCCGGTGAGTATTTTTATGATATGATTCTCTTAAGTGTGAAAGATTAATGCGATTTTCAATAAGTCGTTGACCATGCTTTAAATGCATGTTCGCGATTATTTTTAAGGCTAATAAAATTTAAAATTTTATTTGTCACCTCTATTGTTTTGTTTACTCAGTTACCCAAATTACTTTAATCATTGGAAAGATTAGTCATTTGTTTATGTTTCTAGGTATTCTGACTGTCACGACAAGTATCTATTTGCGTATTAACGGAAATGTTAGCGATCCCGGTTATGCCCCCTTTCTCACAACAACAGGTGGAATTCTCATTCTGATAAGTGTAAGTTGTTTACCTTCAATTTCGTCTTGTCGCTAAGTCATTTTAGCTTTCTTGAACACAATGCACAAAAGTTGGTGAACTGTCATTATCACGCCCAATCAGTCCAGGGCACACTTCATTTATGTATTCCTTTTCAAATACCTGACTAAAATAACATGTTCTTTAAAACCGGAGTAAATCTTGGCTAGGTGTTACGAGGGATGTTAAAATATGAATGCAGCTAGGCCAATGTCTCGCTTTTAACCACGTTTGAACGAATTATGTACATTTATCGCATAGACTCAATTGATATAATACATGTATTTAAAATCAGTTCTGTCTAGATTTTACAAAAGCCCGATTAACGCTATATACTTGTGTATACTAAAGCTAAAATGGTTGGGAAAAGGTCTTTCACTGACCAAATATGATCCCATATATTAGGTACTAAACCGCTGTACTTTTGGTATACAGGCGAAAGACATATTTAATTTAATATTTTTATTTGTATTTAATTAAATATGTCGTGTTTATGGGAACATTGAACTTTCTTTTTCATCTGTCACACGGTGGTGTAAGAAATTTAAAAGTGGTGTGGATTTAGTAAAAGATGTACCTCATGCACGCCGTCCGAAAACTGCAACTTCGCCAAAAATGGTTGAAAAAGTATAGGATTTGATTGCTACTGTTGCAAGATTTACAACACTAGGTATATAGCTAAATGCGTTGGTATCTCATTAGCAGCCGCTCATACTTGCTCTGGTAAGAATCTCCAAACAATTGTTGAAACAGTTCATTAAATACAACAATCTTTCGCAAATATCATTACTGGCGATGAGACGTGGGTTCACTTTATGAACACATAACAAAATATGGCAACAACAGGAAGTCAAAGACAACGCACCATGATCGCCAAAAAGGTCATGTATGTAATTTTCTTTACCAATCAAGGTCCTGCTATTCAAATTGCCGCGATTTAAAACGCGAAAAAATCTCGGTTCGTCTATTTTCCAGTGTCTGAACAGTTTACCTCGAAAAAAATATGAAAACACATTTAGAAATTGGATTAATAGACTAAAACTTTGTATATCACATGGGGTGAGTACATGTATTTTGAAGGATTGAGATAATTATGTTGGCACCGTTTGTTAAGCACTTCTGAAAATTGACCCAGTTGCATTCATATTTGAACTCCACTCGTAGTTTTATTAATTTGCAAAAAGAGATATTCTTTTAATTTATTCTCCACTGAAGGTAAAAACATCACAGGCAACATTGTGTAGTTTACTCCTGTAGATAAACTTACCTTAAGTCATGTCGTTAAAGACAAACTAGAACCATGACTGAATGTTAAAATAGCATGATGGATATATTTATATTGCTAAAGAACAATTGAGTCCCAGTATTAGTGAATATGTTGTCAAAGAATCCTTAGTTTTCAAGAAACATGCACATTTTTTTTTCAAATGCATAAAAATGTGACATCCTTCAATTCTATCATTCTTTCGGCTATACATTTTACATTTTCTATTTATTGTTTGCAGTATTACATGTTACGTGTACACGAGATGGTAATGGACATAGCTCTAAAGTTTTTAGACATCGGAAATGGCGACGAAGAATTTTAGACTGGCAAGGCAGCATGTGACAAAGTGTCTGTAGGACTTTACAGTTGAAGCTACTATGTTATCTCTTTTCTTGAGAAGGCTGCCAGTTTTTTTTTAAATGACGCTATATATTCATATTGTGACCACCTATAATGTGTAGCATTTAAAACATATAATTAAGTAACTTAACATGTTTATTTTAGATTTAGAAAAAAATACTTTGTGGATTTCTATATTTTCTAATATCAAATTTGAGCATAGTATATCTTTATATGTCGTTCAGGTAAGGTTTGTGTTTTATTTGCAGTTATCAAATAATGGTCCATTCTTTTCTATGTTTTTGATATCCTCAGCCTCCCTCGTTTTATTTATTTTTTATTGCTGCTTGTCTTGCAATAATGTATCGCTGGATGTTGACGGAGACCCTGTTCATTGCACTCCTTGTTCAATATTGATCACGTATAATATTTTTTTCATGTAACAATTTATGAAACGATACAGAAAAAAATTCAAGTCAAGTAAATAAAATCAAAATCTGGTCATTTTTATTCCATGATAGATATTTTGAAAATTGTATTTAATGCTTTCTGCTCGAAAAATGTTCTTCAATAAAAGAAAAATATATTTAATGAAACGACTTGTCTTCTTTGTTGTATATTTACCACACTGTCACTGTACACTTATTAATAAACCTATTTTTTCTAGATCGCATTCAAGCTTGACTTTCAATTTAAAGTGTCTGTCGAGTCAGGCCAACATAAAGTTTAAGTGAATGTCATGTAGAACAGTGCTCAATGCCATATGCTGCTTGCTGTGGTAGCATAACCTTTTACATCACCAGGTATATTTAGAGTAATTATTTTTGTATATGAAATAGGTGGGCTTTTTGTAGAATTTATTAACAGTTTTGCTTTCATTTTGGAGCTATAAAAGTCACAGACTGACTAATTAACAAATATTTATTGCTTTAAAAATCATCTCAAATAGATGCACACACATTAGTTAAGATAAAGAAACAAAAGAGAAAATGTTTAAAGAAAGAAACTAATTTTTTTCCGTTAACTTGGACCAGAATTCGTACTTCAGACCTAGGCCTGTCACCTTACCCCCGGACTTCTGATGTAGCTTTCTTGAAAAAATCCGAAGCAAACCACTCGATTCTAAATATAGAACTTTCTTAAGTGTTTACTACAAATGTCTGAAAGATATTGATTAAACTAAGCTACAAATGTAAAGCAACGATCAAAATTTTTGTCATTAAATTTAATCAATGGTTAAAAACAGTCAAGACATGTTTTACTATTCATAAATACATTTGTATTTGTCATAAATAATTATCATGATCGTACAACTTTTAACCTATTGCTATTCTATACAGTCAAACAAGTATAACATTGTGCGTATATCATCTTTACAGATTTATATCAATAGTTCTTTTCAAAACATGCAATAGCTTCTTCAAAGAATTTGATCGAATGTCTTTGTAATATTAATTGTATACAGTGTAAATTGCAAACAATATAATTTCATAGTCTACTTCCTTGTAAATTAAACGTCTTATTTTTAACACATAAACGATTTGTATTTTGAATTTGAAAAGAATCTCATTTTACTAGTATTTGGTAAAATTAAGTGGAAATATGTCGGAAGAAAAGAAAAAGAATAAGAAGAAAATTAGCTACGCTGTGTTTTTGATATTTCTATATTTTGCGAGTTTTATACTGGTAAATGTAGGATTTTATTTACCATATTGGTTCACATCTTATGAACAAGGTACATATGTTTGGGAAGAAGATTATAGGAAGTGCAACGAGGTTGGGCTTATAACCGGTGATTGTAGGTACCCATACACCGGTATTAATCAAAAACAGGGGAGCAAAGGTAATTTTTTTTGTCTTTACAACGAAATAATTCATTAGAGATTATATATTGCCGTAAAGTACACTAATTGCAGCATTTGCTAATAACAGCTCGGCTAAAGGAGGGCAATTTACGCCGGATGAAAAAATTACAAGAAGCTATTGAAATGGACAAAAATGTGTCCTAAAATAGACAGCAAATTCCTTCTGTAAATGGCAAACATGATATTTTTTTCCATATAATGTAAAAGAAATATTTACAATCTAATTTCTTTAGATTACATGTTTTTGATTTTACATTGACTTTAAAAAATCAATTATAGTAGTTGATTTGAAGGGAAAATCAGACTTGTCCTTTGCTTAGATATTACATACTTGTATGCAATAAAATAAAAAAAACATTCAGTGAAATCATTTGCAATTTATTCTGCGGAAATCAATAATGGCTTGATAGGAATTAAAATCGAAGATTAATTGTGCTTTGGTATAACATGTTTGCATGAAATATGTACAGAATCACTGATATACTTAAAAAAATTATCAAGCCAAAAACCATCAATTTCACATATAAATGCGCGTAAAAGGGCAGGACTCTATTTATAATGAGTTGATCGCAGCGAGAGTCAATCGTACGTAACCTTTATTTTGATATACAGTATAACATACGTAAATGTCAAATACAAACAAAATCATTGATACCCTTCAAATACAAAATTTATCATGCGGATATCAATTGTCTACGGACAGACGGACGGACAACACCTATCATAGAACGTCCCGAAGGTCTTCGGGAATATAAAATGACAAAAAAACCCAATAAAATGGTTTCATTTTCCAGCAGATTAAATATTCTTTAAAAATGTTCAGAACCTTTTCCTTATTGACTTATTCCAAGGGTAAATATATTACTAGTATTTCAACAAGTTGAAAAGTTACTTTGTAAGGCTTCTATATATCAACGGTGACAAATCTAAAAGTGTATGAATGTCGGAATCGGTGCTTTATTTAACATTTACTGTCGTGTACTTCACCTCAAAACGTATGTAGCTTCGACATCCTGGTTTTCTTTGATAATATTGGCACTAAATTAGAACCGAGTGGCGTCCATGACCGAGTGGTTAAGGTTGTTGACTTCAACTCTGTGGGTTTGAATCCCGGCAGGGACTGTGAATTATTTCATGCGAGGAAGCTTTCTATCTAGCTATTTTGGCATTCTTTTTTTTGCAAGTTAAAGTTAAATTTTACTGACATAAATTAACGAACATTGAAATGCATTAGACATGTTGTCAAACGATCATTTCATGATAACTTCGACATTATCCAAAAATGACTTGTTCTTTAAATATTTTTATCAGTATAGAACTAAAGTAGCCTAATTTACGATGTGCAAAGTCTTAATATGAGGGAATACTTGAGAAAAGATCTACTTATTCATTTCGGTGATTGTAATTTTTGGTGAGAAAATAGAAGTTTTCAAATGTGTTTTCTTCTTTTAGTTATCCAGTGTTTTGACTGTTTGCATTCATTTCAGGCTTTGTAATTCGTACAACATTCTACATGATGTCTACGGCAATGATTTTTCTGTACATGTCTTTCTTCTTCCTGATGTTTGGTTTAATACTGAATAGTCTTGAGAACCCTATATTCATGGCTTTCGGTTCCATTATTGCTGGAGTTCTATATCCTGCAGCTGGTAAGTGTTTTATTGACGTCTGAAACAGTTATTAAACCCGATATTCTCCTTTACAGTTTTTTTTAAACAAATCAATAATTACCATACAGCGTAAAATAGCATTTTTTTATAAAGGAGATACTATTAGTACAATATTGATAATCCAGAGATTTAGTGTACTACAAAAGTATGCAATTCAATATAACCTTCATTCATTTTGTAATTTGTTTAAATACTTGATTAAAAAGCTGGTCATTTAAGGTTCCAATTTCAACTTTGTGTAGCACAATATAGGCAAAACTAAGTTATCTACATTGATAATATTTTCTTGTAGCTGTTTTAACAATCGCAGCAAGCGTGTACGCGGAGTTGAGTAACACATCAAAGATTGGCTATGCTGCAATCATCACAAATGTTGGAGGGGGACTCATGATGGTTTCTGTAAGTTTTTTTATTAATGATGTACCCCTAGCTATTGTATGAAAAGGCAAATTTTGTCAAGTGTATATCTTAAGATACTTGTAATTCCACAAACTATGCTATTTTTAAAACGTCTTTAAAGGAACAACACATTAAGACGTTAACAGTGTAATAATATTTCATTGCTGGTATATACATGTAAGTAAATACATGAATACACATGAAAACAGAAACAAGAGGTTTTAGAAAAAGAAAGTTGATTCAAGTTCTTTCAACATTAGCCACGAGCCTCCCACAAAAGCCCAAGTAAAACTTAGAGACTATATAAGTGATTACATTCAAGCACAAAATTAAAGCTACACGTACATGTATATCTTCTGAAAAGTATATTACGATAATGTGTTAGTAGTTTCAACACGTCTAACCGTAAACATTCAATAAAAGTATCTCAAATTTCCACAAAAAATACAGCGCATAACAACAAAACAATAAAGAGAAGAACTTTTAGATAGTGTGCCAACTATATTTGTATAAAAATCTATATTGCAAGTAAACATCAATTCAATACACGTAACGACCATGGAAAAAGGGATATAAAAGATTTGTCAAGTAAAACCAATCAAGTTAAATACACGTAAATACGTGGTATTTAATGACAGGAAGTCTCAAAAAGTTCAGAATTTTAATTAATAATTGATAAAAATGGTAAATTAAATCCTGGCATTTATTGTCAAATGCAGATGTCTTGAAAAGGTTGACATTTCAACAAATTTTGGGTTTTGTTATAATTTAAGCGAATAGGTATTTGAAACTTTTCAATATTTAATTTATATGTGTTTCACTAATAAAATAAAATATGTCTGTTTTTTTATTTTTAAGTATGTGATGCTGAGGATGTACGAGAAAGTATTCAAGAAAAAGGGAAGGTCCATTGAAAGTGATGACTGACAAAGTATTTCTTGACTTTGAACAGAGATGTTTTGTAATGATCAACCAGTGATGTTTTGTAATGAGCATGCGTGTTTTACAATTAGAGGACATGTTTTAGGTCCCAATACCTGGATATTAGGATCATACCGATTGATGATATGTTTTGTTGTGAACAAGTGTATTTTACAATTAGAGGACATACTTTCGTACCACATATCTGGATATTAAGGTCATTATTATTGATATCACTTCAACCAGAGATGTTTTGTAATGAACATGTGTGTGTTTTAAAATAAGAGGACATATTTTAGGTCCCCATACCTAGATATTAAGATCATTATTATTGATATCACTTAAACAATAGATGTTTTGTAATGAACATGCGTGTTTTTTTTTCAATTAGAGGACATATTTTAGGTCCCCATATCTGAATATTAATCATTATTATTGATATCACTATATCAAGATATGTTTCGTAATGAACATGCGTGTGTTTTACAATTAGAACACATGTTTTAGGTCCCAATACCTGGATATTTAGATCATTATTATAGATACTACTTAAACAAGAGATATTTTGTAATGAACATGCGTGTTTTTTACAATATGAGGACATGTTTTAGGTCCCAATACCTGGATATTTAGATCATTATTATAGATACTACTTAAACAATAGATGTTTTGTAATGAACATGCATGTTTTTTTTACAATTAGAGGACATATTTTAGGTCCCAATACCTGGATATTTAGATCATTATTATAGATACTACTTAAACAAGAGATATTTTGTAATGAACATGCGTGTGTTTTACAATTAGAACACATGTTTTAGGTCCCAATACCTGGATATTTAGATCATTATTATAGATACTACTTAAACAAGAGATGTTTTGTAATGAACATGCGTGTGTTTTACAATTAGAGGACATGTTTTAGGTCCCAATACCTGGATATTTAGATCATTATTATAGATACTACTTAAACAATAGATGTTTTGTAATGAACATGCGTGTTTTTTACAATTAGAGGACATATTTTAGGTCCCAATACCTGGATATTTAGATCATTATTATAGATACTACTTAAACAAGAGATATTTTGTAATGAACATGCGTGTATTTTACAATTAGAACACATGTTTTAGGTCCCAATACCTGGATATTTAGATCATTATTATAGATACTACTTAAACAATAGATGTTTTGTAATGAACATGCGTGTTTTTTACAATTAGAGGACATATTTTAGGTCCCAATACCTGGATATTTAGATCATTATTATAGATACTACTTAAACAATAGATGTTTTGTAATGAACATGCATGTTTTTTTTACAATTAGAGGACATATTTTAGGTCCCAATACCTGGATATTTAGATCATTATTATAGATACTACTTAAACAATAGATGTTTTGTAATGAACATGCGTGTGTTTTACAATTAGAGGACATTTTTTAGGTCCCAATACCTGGATATTTAGATCATTATTATAGATACTACTTAAACAATAGATGTTTTGTAATGAACATGCGTGTTTTTTACAATTAGAGGACATATTTTAGGTCCCAATACCTGGATATTTAGATCATTATTATAGATACTACTTAAACAATAGATGTTTTGTAATGAACATGCATGTTTTTTTTACAATTAGAGGACATATTTTAGGTCCCAATACCTGAATATTTAGATCATTATTATAGATACTACTTAAACAATAGATGTTTTGTAATGAACATGCGTGTTTTTTACAATTAGAGGACATATTTTAGGTCCCAATACCTGGATATTTAGATCATTATTATTGATACTACTTAAACAATAGATGTTTTGTAATGAACATGCGTGTTTTTTACAATTAGAGGACATTTTTTAGGTCCCAATACCTGGATATTTAGATCATTATTATTGATACTACTTAAACAATAGATGTTTTGTAATGAACATGCATGTTTTTTTACAATTAGAGGACATTTTTTAGGTCCCAATACCTGAATATTTAGATCATTATTATTTGTACTACTTAAACAATAGATGTTTTGTAATGAACATGCGTGTTTTTTACAATTAGAGGACATATTTTAGGTCCCAATACCTGGATATTTAGATCATTATTATAGATACTACTTAAACAATAGATGTTTTGTAATGAACATGCATGTTTTTTTTACAATTAGAGGACATATTTTAGGTCCCAATACCTGGATATTTAGATCATTATTATTGATACTACTTAAACAATAGATGTTTTGTAATGAACATGCATGTTTTTTTACAATTAGAGGACATTTTTTAGGTCCCAATACCTGAATATTTAGATCATTATTATTTGTACTACTTAAACAATAGATGTTTTGTAATGAACATGCATGTTTTTTTACAATTAGAGGACATATTTTAGGTCCCAATACCTGGATATTTAGATCATTATTATTGATACTACTTAAACAATAGATGTTTTGTAATGAACATGCATGTGTTTTACAATTAGAGGACATTTTTTAGGTCCCAATACCTGAATATTAAGATCATACCGACTGATATCACATCAACAAGAAATGTTCTCTAATGAATATGTGTGTGTTACAATTTGAGAACATGTTTTAGGACTCCATACCGGGATATCAAAATCATAATTATTGATATCATTTCAACCAGAGATGTTTTGTTGTTAATTAGAGGGTGTATACCTGGATATTTAGATAATAATTTATGTCACTTCAACCAGAGATATTTTGTTCTTAAGGTGTGAGCAGATAAATTATACTGAATGATTCAACTTTAAAGTAGTGATGTTTTGTTTATGTATACACAATATACATATATTATAGTTTCTAATCAGTTTCTAATCATAGTCTTATGAACAATGCTGAATGCCACATGTTTATTTTGTACATGATTGTCAAGTAAAACAAATATAGTCATAATTTTCAAAGAAAATATATTAGTAACAATTCAATCAACATTTAGGGAAGCCACTCATAAACATATGCATATCTTTCACAGATGCATTTCTATATTGAGCATTTTCTGTAAATATTCTATTATTGAAGTTTTATTAAAATATTACTTGATATAAATGTGTTTATCAACAAATTAATGTCAATCTTTTTTTGTTCTGCTTTCTTTACATAATGGACTTGCCCTGGTTTGAACTAGGGAGTTGTTCATTTCTTATTTGAATATCAGATTGTTAACCCTTAGTTGTGAAATGGATATGCTCCATTCAAAGTTTTAAAATACAAATATTGAGCTACAAACTCCTGGTCACACTGCAATACATGCTGGCCCTACAGTGGTACAAGTAAGATTTATGTACTCATATATAAAATAACTTGTTATTATAAGTTGAAGGTAATTATATAAATTAAGATATTATAATGTGGCAACAAAAATTCATATATGTATTTATGCTTGTAAAATAATGCATATGTAAAAACATGTTATAATAAAGTTAACAAAAATAACACTTTATAAAAATGTAAAGTAGCAAAATGTAACAAAATAGCCAGCTTAGTTGTTTATATGAACTTGGCAAGTACACATGTACATAGCATCCACTGTTGATATCGTCTACAAGTAGTAATTTATGACTCTCTGACAAAAGGTCTTATATAAACACATTACAACTTGAGACTGTGTTCCATTATCCTTAAAAAAGTAAGTTAAGAAAATAAACGTATCATGAGACACAGTCAATTTTTCGTTTTTCTGGCACCAAATAATTAGGGTCGCCATTTTCATTAAGCAAACACTCATCATTATCTGTCAACACTTGTGGGCCATCTCCTGGTACTGTATGAATCATATACTTTATTGCACCTTGTTGGATAGGCAGATTTAATGTAGATATAAAATCCTGAAATAAAATAGATGTTTTCTTCATACATGTATTTTTTTAAAAACCAATACCGACAGTTTATATTAAATGCTATATATACATGTTGATTTTGCCCATATTTTATTCTTACACTCCATAAAAGAAATTGGGACATCAGCATTGTTAGAACTGTTTTAATTTATAATTTTTCTAAGATAGTTCCATTATAACTAAAGATGGACATAGAATTTTATCTTGAAAATGCAATTCTATATTGTTTGAAGAATGTGGAATGTGCAACAATTCAAATATATATATTTGTATATTTACATGTACATATAAAACACAATTATACCATGCTGACATAGAGCAATAAATTTACCCTACATTGAATTTGGAACAGTCCATTCAAACATTTCAAGGTTAAAATTGTACTACGAACAGCATAGAGCTGAATGTTTAGGCAGGCTAGACTCTTACCCAGGCAGGCTCGACTCTTATCACTTTTGGTTCCACATGTTAAGGGTTAATGTAAAGCATAAGGTTTTCCATCTCCTGATTACACACATATTTATCATACTATTTTGTAATCATTCTTGATGTTTATTGTTACACTTTTTAAATTCTAATCCTCCTTTTGTAAGTCATAACCTAAGATAGTCAAATGGCTAACCTGCAACTATTCCCTTCCCTGTGATATATTTCATAGAGCAACTAAATAAACCTTATGAATAACTTCATCTTGATATTTGACATGTATATTTGCTGGGACATAATATACTGTACAAGCAACTACCAAATAGATAAGGTGTCTTATGTTGGTGTCCATGATCAATAAGACAAAATAGCACAGCGCTCGCTTAATAATGAAAAGATAACCCAGCACTTATCAACCGTTGCTAGTCCTGTTATATTATAACCCAGATACTCCAAAAACCACTGACATAGTCAGCATTATCCTTATCTTAAAATAGTCATTTTATGACAAGTATTACACAGTTTACCTCGGGAACTTTTGCTTCATCCACTGGTAATCCTGTTACAAAATGTTCGCTGACATCTTCTGGAGGAAATAAATACTTGATCAATGCTGTAACCATGGCAACATTTTCTTCTAATAAATAAAGACAAGCATTTGGACCAGCATCAAAAGTATAAGCAACCTGGAAAAAACACAAATAAACAAGATTGCATTTGTGAAAAATGCTATGCCACCGCATTAATACAACACTAAATAGTAGTGTAGGAACAGATTTTTTTATGTTTCTATACAATTGTAGATTGTTATTATGCATACATCCCTGACGTATCTAATCTTTATTATCAGATTAGTGGTTAAATCTATTGTTATTCAAATAAAAGATCAGAGTAGGAATATATCAATGCAGTTGAGTCTAGTTAATTTGGTGGTGAAGGTCATATTTCACACAGCCTAAATTTCATGACTGTACATCAAAGGACAACACAGTAAGACACTTTGTCAAAATCTAGGTCAGCTGATATCAAAGTTCACTTTACATCTTAATCTGTGCACACATGGTTCAAATTTCATAGCTGTACATCAAAAGACAAGATCAAAATCTAGGTCACCTGATATCAAGTTCAATTTTACTAAAACTAAACATAAAAAGATGCTCTTGAGAATCATAGTTAAAGAATAAATCATTTAGATATTAGTTGTTTTTAACCAGAAGAAATTCAGGCCCAGTTAACTCAGTTTGGACAGCAATATTTATATGGACATTGCAATTTTGAGTTTATGTCTTGGTGGCAGCTTTTTTTTCTGTGATAATTTGGATAAATCAAAATGCATAATTCCAACCATATTCTCCCTGTATTTCATCTGATACAAGAGGTTGATGGTTGATAGTTCGATGCAGAAAAATGGGAGAGTACTATAACAGAATCTAGGAACATATTATATATATTCTGGAATGATAAAAATCAATTGTCCATATTACCCAGGTTGTCCCAAAGCCTGTGTCGAGCATGTCAAAATCAGATTTAGCCGGCCCTGATATTACATATAATTTTTGTTTCATACATTTATTTGACTTTTTGTTCAGAAAGTATTTAGCAAATTTACATTTTTATGAGCTGATCAGTAATCAAATTCCAGACAATTACTTTACCAGCTTTGAGTCTTTACAGATACTGCAAGTAGCTGATACCTTCTATCAGGGAATCAATTTAGTTTAAACATATTTGTTTCAGCTAGATTATAATAAAAGTTTAAACAAATATTTGAACCACTCCTGAGTCAGTTTCCTGAAACTAATCAGTACTAGTGCCAAATGAGTAGTTATGGGACTGGAACATATACAGACAGCTTAATTTCAAGGCCACCTCTCTCAAGTATTATTTTAAATTTGCTGAAGAATAGGAAGAATAGCATAAAACAACAAAATATAACTTTGTCAACCAAATTGTTAAAATTAAATACCTGCACCTGGTGAATCAGAAGTCCGTTCATCTGGACTCGTTCAGATGTTTGTAATTACATAACGTATGGCCTTCTAGATTATATACCTGAGCATCTGAACTCCATGATAATTGCAATATTGTACAACAACAAACTCAAAAACAAGATCTGTTTCCTAAATATATTCACTTTATACATGTATGCTGTTAGCTGTAATGTATAAAATATTGTAATACCTTATTCTGGCCACAGTATTTGTTATAGGCATGTACTAGTGTGATGACCTGTCTGGAGACATCTGTCAGGTAGGAGATTGGAGGATATGTATCTAAACATACTGCATGAAGCTGATTGCTTTCCTAACATGAGAAAATACAATAATACCTGATTATAACATAGTCATCAAAAACAAAATTATCTTTAATACAAATATATAGATGATATTTGTTTAGTTCAGTGTAAGATTGGAATATATTTCACAGAGTGAGCACCAAAAGGTATATTTCACGAGTGGCCAAGCCAAGAGTGAAATATGAACTTCTGGTGTTCATGAGCTGAAATATATTTCGATCTTACACTAAACTAAACAAATTTTCTTTTTATTATATGCAAAGAAACGTTTAAAAAGACGTTTTAACCTAATGCTAAACGAAAAGCGCGCCAAATAATAGTACAACGTGACATCATTTAAGACGTCATTAAGCTGGTTTCCAGAACTGTGCACGCTGGTATTTCACTGAAATAACGTAACAGGCTTAAATTCAAAACAGTGAAATTATCAAACTGATAATTTCACTGTTTCAAACAATGAATTATCAGTTCTTTATTTCACTGATATATTTCTATAAACTATTGAAAAGCATGTAATAAATTGAATTCATCCCATTTATAGACTCCTGTTATGTTAAAAGTCAAGAAGGAATACAGAGATTCATATGAAATGGTCAAAATAAATTTCCTTACAGAATTTAATGTTTGAGGGCTGATGAATACCAAGATCAAGATCAATAACTCTTTAATAAGTTACAGTTAAACACAAAGCACTAGAAACACATCTTAGTATGGAATATAGGGAGCTCGAGAAAACTCCAAAACAGTACTCACCTTCATAGTATGTGTGGCAAATGAGTCAAAGTCTTTACTGAGTATAGCATTTGAGATGAGATCTACTCTTTTTGGCACCTGTCTAACTCTTTCTAACATAAGCTCACTGCTGCGAACTGTTGTCTGCATTCCTTCGGAACTTCCTATATGCTTCTTTTTGTCACTTACCTATACAGTGTAACCATTTTACATTTTTTTTTTTGTACTTTGTTAAGTATATAATATGACAACATTAGCTTACTGTTGTGTTAAAAATTGACTAAATTAATGAACCACAGAAATAAGATGCTTGTAGCTGTATTATGAACATTTCTACCATTATGATCACTATGATACAGGCATAATACACAAAGAAACAACAAGTGGTGGTGGTGGTGGTAGTTTTCACTCCAGATCATGGTAGTAAGCTACAATGAATTCATCAGAGCACAGTTCAACCAACACATCTTTCCTGGACAGGCTGTCAAGCAGTTTACCAGTACCAGTTGCCTTCACTTTCACAAGGAACTGATCACTTCTGTACATACCAGAGCAGAGGTACTTTTACAGTGGATTTCATGATCAATCACAATGAAAGTGACCTCCATCATCTGGGAATCGAATCCCAATCACCTAATCCACAGTCCAACGTTCTACCTATTGAGCTAATTAGATGCAACCAAAGAAAGGGCAAACTAAATTTTGCAATTTATAAATGTCTTAACTTTTATTTTTGCATTGATCAACATTTATATCAACAAATTACATACCACTAGAATAAGCACATGAAGATCTGGCCAGTGTGTGTGTGGAGCTATCTGTCTAGATATAGAATCTGTACCATCATCTTTGTCCCCTTTATCCCAGACAACAAAACCTCCATGTACACTACGACAAGCACTGCCTGAACCCCGTCTAAAAATTAATTGATACTACAAAATTGACACGTATTTCAATTGTCCAACTCAGTAATTTTTCCATTAAAAGCTTTGGTGGCCTTCCGTAACATGTTTTGTTTAATTTGCTGTTTTACACAAAATCAACCGTACATAGTCGAGCATAAAAATGTAGAGAAGAAAATCTGCCATATGACTACAGTCTACAATTAACATATGGTTGAGCTTATTGTAAGGTTGCTTATTCTTAATAAAACATAAAACAAAATTTTCAAGAAGAACACAACAAAATCATTTTCAAAATGCAATGAACAATCAAAAAATTGAAATAATTTGATGCGGTAACACCTGTTGGGAATTCTGTCATTTATGAATTGACAATGAAGGCCATATGTGCTAAACATAGTTGAGACAGAAGACTAATCAAAACAAATTTAAAAAGTCATTGGAGATATTGGGCTAGATTTGCATTATTTCATAGTCAATATGTGTTACTTCTTTAAATGTTGATGTCAGGAATGGTATATATCATTACAAGCATAAATGGTGATTGTTCTTTATGGCATTTTAACATGCTAACTTAACAAGGTTAAAACATATGTTCAGACAAATACCATAACCTTACCTTGCAATATCAGATATATCCCCTTCTAATCTGTACAATCTGGCTAATGTAAATGCTGAAAATATATCAGGAAATAATAATGAGCTAACATTAGACAGCGAGTTATACTGTTTTCAGTGTTTGAGATCCATGCTGTAATATTCACAAAGGGAAATATTTCTGTAAAATCCAATCCAGAGTTATTGGAAGTTTTTAAATCAACAAAGTATTTTAAATAAGTATATTTCCAGACTTAACTTCTTTTTCTTGGAGTCAGCTGCTGTGTGAAGTTTAAAATGAATATCTTCTGTTGTTGCACACAAAACTAAATATGAACTCAACTTATAATTGCTTTTGTAAATTTTCTCATAAAAAGTGTACATATAATGTCTGCACACTTTTTAGAATATTAAAGGATTTTTAAATTAATTTTTACTCTACTCCACATGTTAAACATAGACATGAACATATATAATTACCCAAGCAAGCATAACCAGCTGCTGACGAGGCCAGACCCGCTGCTGTGGGAAAATTATTCTCAGAACATATATGAATCTTCCAGTCTAGTATTTTTCCTCCATCTCCTTGTTGTTTTGCTCGATTTTTCACTGAAAATATTTACACTTAACTTATACTTGCTATTGTACATACTAGGATAGGTTGAGTGGTGGCATGGTGAAGTGGTTAACGCATCTGATTAGAAATCTAAGGATTGCTGTCTGCGTGGGTTCAATCCCTGTCAGGGGCAAGCTGTTGTTTCCTTGAGCAAGAAACTTAAAATTTATTGCCTAGTACTGGTTGAGAAACTTAAAATTTATTGCCTAGTACTGGTTGGTTCCAGGAACCGATTAGAGTGTTTCAATAAGCTTATAGCTTCCAACACAATCAAACTAAACAAAATTTGTACAAACTAAGATAAGTTAAGAGTTGTCAGAATGTTCTTTCACACCTACATCAAATTGTCTACAGGGACAAATGTTCAGAAAAAGGATGATATAAATAAATGAAATACATAATCTTTTATAAAGTAAGTGGTTATCTCTAAAACAGGAACATTTGTACAATTATTGCTTGTATGGAAACATTAAAGAGCTTGCAGTTAGTACCAATATATCAATATGTGGTTAATATTTGGAAAGAGACGTCAACGTAATTCTGAGTGGTCCTTTCAACAATCATACAATGACATAAGCAATACAATCAGAAAATTTACTAAACAATGTAATACAGTGAAATGACTAAAACAGTCAGCCAAAACATGTTTTATGCAGGTTATCCATAGAAATGATTATTTCTGAACCTTGTATGTGAAAAATAAAAATGTATTAACACTCCGTACTTTAGCCATATTTTAGTAAAATGTAAGACATACATGCATAATGAAAACAAATATGTAAAACTTAGCATTGTTCTTTAACATTCTTGAAAAATTCCATTTTATTTCTGAAATGGCTATATACTAGATGTTTTTAAGATTTGAACTTTGATTACAATATTTTAAATAAGTTCATTACTTCATGTATCACTTTTCTGTTTACTTATAAATCTAAAATTATGGATAATACAACATATAGAATTACCTTCCTTTAGCAAGTTCTGTATTCTTGGTGACTCAAATGTGTCCTCCCTTAAAGTACATAATTATAATATAGAAAGCAATAGTTTATTTCGACGACTGCTAAGTACGTAGAGCATTGGACAGTGAATCAGGTGACCCTGGTTGAATTCTCTGATTGTGCAGGCAACTTTTGTTGTGATTGATCATGAAAATCTTTCAACTGTCATTTAACTGTACCTCTGCTATTGACAGCCTTGCTCAGGAACAATACAGTAGCTGAACTTTGCTCTGGTGAATTCAAATTTGCTTTCTGCTTTCATCTGGAGGGTAAACTACCAACACGTACATGTACACCACAGTTTTTTTGTCATATTGTCACAAAAGACGCATAATAGCCTTCTTTGACAGAAACAGACAGACAGCAGACAGTCAACTTCTACATGCTAATCAAGGGCATCATGTGCTCATGTAAGCTAGAAATAAATGCTAAATAAAATTACCTTACAAATTCTTTTAAATAATATTTTGTTTAAGTCTTTTAGAAATGTATACATTGATTTTTATGTTTTCACTAGCCACACATCAGAAAATCCATTACATTGCTAACCATTATTGAAGTAAAAGCACATTGGAAATGACATCACACTTTACATGACATTTCAAAATTACTTATTATTTAAGAAATAATAATAAGCAAACACAAACATGAATCATAGCCTAGTACATGACAGAAGATAATTGGATGCTTTGGGTGCTTGACAAGCGAATGAGTGTAGAAAATATACCTTCCATTCAACCATATTTTATTCTCTGTAAAATGTTCACAGGCACAAATTGTCGTCTTTGCTCGAAGCTGAAATCATTAAGCAAATTTTCAGCATCAAAGTTGAAAGTATTAAGGATAAAAGAATCTTTAAAGTAATTAGTTGTTTTGAAGTAATTAGTTGCTGTCAGTGAAAATTTTCTTTATCAAAACTGATACTTCCTTCCAACTTCATCTATCATTTATTGATCCATATAATAAATATTTTAGGTCAGTTTTATTCAAGGTCATGCTTAGTAATCTGTATCTGCAAATTAAATTAAGAAAAAAGCCATGATTTGCTATAAAAATCTATTCAACAAGATTCCTGGAATGTCGCCATATGACCTATACTGTGTTGGTGTGACTTAAAACCCTATCAAACAAACAAACAAGATTCCTACCTGATCTTGTGAAAGAGTAACGCTTACACTTGAATTCAATGGCAGGACGAGATTTTCATCTCTCTTACCCCCTGAAAGAGAATGAAATTTACTTATATAAACCAGAAGTTTTGTTTAATATTTGGACTCAGCATGACATTTTGAATTTTTGTTGATTATTTTACCCTTTTACCCTGTGATAACTGATAAATAATTTTAGTAGAACACAATGTATGTACATAAGCAGTAATGGACCATTTAAATTAAAAGTTAAAAAGCATTTGTGTGAATAGGATTATTAAAACTTTCTTCAAAATATGACATATGCTGCAATAAAATTTATCGAATTGACATTTGCATACAACAGAAACTACCCATGTAAGCATTAACAAAGCCTGGATTTCCTTCAAGGACGAACTTAACCACCTTTGTTCTATTCACATACCAACTAAAGTCACTAAAACACGTTGAGATCTACCATGGTTAAACAAGTCCATTATTCGCAAAATTAGGAAACGTGATACAACTTATTCAAACATTAAAAGGTCAAAGTCCCAATCAAATGATTTGGTCAAAAAGCTCAAAATACTTAAAAGTGAAATCCAAAGAGAAACTAGGAAAGTAATACTGGCAATAATGGACTTGTTTAACCATTTAAATCGCAACTTTTCGGCATACAAGATAACGATAAAAGCCGAGGAATTATTGGCAGCCATCTTGGATGGGAACCATAATAAAGGAAACAAGAACTAACGAAAGCAGTGTATAAAATACCGAGTGGCACTTTTAAAACAGAAAATGTAAAATAAAAATACCGACTTCCCCTTTCATAGGCTTTGTCTAATTTCCTTTTATAGGGAAGTAAAAGACTGGAACCATGAAGCCTACATGTAATTTCATCAGCTTTATATTATTTTCATTTCAAAAGAAAACATAAATTAAAATTTAGGTATTCGTAAAACAGGTTTAAGATTTTACATGTCCAACCGGAAAACACTCTTTTTTACGGTAATTCTCAACATGACAGCAGTAAAATATTCCAATCAGCCAATGTCAAATGTATTTGCTGACAATTTGGTCTCGCGAAAATAAGTGACATTAGCACTTGGAATATTTTGAAGCAATAATGAGGCAGAAAATCTATTTGCACAATATAAATAATAAAATGACTTACAATATTTAACAACAGCAATGTTAACAGGAGCGGTACACGTTACTGATTTCATTATGGGATTGGAAATCGTCTGCACACACGTGTTTTGAATGAAATTTGACAGTTTATCAACATCCGGTTTGCTGCTGATTTTATGAGAACTTTATTTGATATGATAAGGTAAACATTACATGACATGATATAGCTACTTAAACACATTAAGATTTAGATTTTATTTCTTAAAGTATATTTCAATTTTTTCAAAGTAATATTTTTCTCACAATAATTCACCTCGGATTCCAAGATGTCAGCCTCCATATTAAGCATGAAATGCCTTCGACGTTTTTGTGGTTTGTGGTCCTATTGCAGGATAACATGCTTGCGTTACCAACAAAAAAGAGTAAAATCAAATGCTTTATTTTGTTAAACCAGTTGATAATAGGTCACGTCTTTCTTTTGTTGTAGAATAGGATGATTGTAAACTGCAGTATTAATCGGATAGTTTCAAGTTTGTATATTCAAAACAAGATTTAAATACATAAATACATACAATTCCAGTTAAGAATAAACGGGAAAAAAAGAAAGATCTATAAGCTGTGCTATATGAAAGTAAGCGAAGCTGATCCAGGAAGTCAGATATTTTACATATTTTGTTTCTAAGGTGTCATTTGGTATTTCATACCACTTCTGGTTTCAATTAGAACACCTCAACGATAAATAAATTTATTCTGTAGCCAAAAAGTTGTGATTATTGTGTTATTGGAATCCCCAACCAATTGTTATTGAGTTACATTTAAAATGATGGTGCACAGGTGCTCAACTAGACAACACATTAAAATTTTACTGATAGGTATAGCTACTAAGCTAGACATCTTTTTTTTTAATTGTTTATAATTTGATTTCCTTTTGAATATACACATATAGTCTATAGCCGGGCAAGCTTAAGCCATTGACTTCTCTGTACATGTAGGATAGAAAGTAACAGGGAAGTCCAGCATACAAATTCAAGGGAAATAGTGTCCTGCACATTCAGACAGTTTAAAGTTAGTATTTTCTGTAAGTTGCAAGTTGAACAACCACACTTTCCAACACTGTTCTCCAGCTGACATTTTGTTTGAATATGCACTGACATTTAAAGGCCTGGGCTTTGGCTTGCTTGGATATATATTTTACATATAAAAGGAATTCAATAGAACAAAATTTAAAGGAATATATAGATTAAATTTCTATACAGGTCTATCAGTAAAATTATCTTGTCATTTATGGTGGCTGCCTTTTTAATGTATTTTAAGGGTATCTTGCTGTACTGGGGACTGACTTTCCATAATTTGTACAAAGTTAAAAGACTTGCTACTGGATGTTATAATGGCTAACTGCAAACTTACTCGTATTTCATTTTTTATCTTAGTGTTGAGCCATTTGTTTGAAAGAAAAAACACTTCTTGAAAAAATGAAGAGCTAATAATGTTATAACTTTTTATTCAGAAAATGAAAGGTTTTCACATGAATGAATCAGATATTTTATCAAAGTTTGCATAAATTTATTATCCAGGCATATTAGAATGAAAATAATATATACATGTATCATGTTTAAAGATTGAATTGTTTCTAATTAATGTCTGATTAATGTCTCCTTATTAATTAGTGCTTCCTTTTGAAGATTTCTAAATTTTCCCATAGTAAATTTGATCCATTCCAAAAAAGAAATCAATCTATGAAAATATATGAAAAGACCAGAATTATACATTTCTTGAACCCATAGCAAAGCCTCACTTTTTTTAATTTATGTAATGTGTTTTTAGCACTTTTACATAGTATTTTACAAGTACAACAACAAAAAAAAGATCAAATAGTCATAGTACATGTTCATATTTAACCTGCATAATGTCAGTTAATATTTTCATAATTACTCTGTCATTAGAATTGCACTGTTTGTCTCAGTCTAACAGCACAGTGTTTGATTGGTTTAAAATGCACACATCTTGTTGCTGAGCCTCACAACCCTTGCAGAGATCTATTGATTATCATTCAGTTTTTCTTGTTCTCTCGTTTGTATTGTGCTTTCTGGTTATAAATGAAAGTTTTCAATGTCTTTATATCTAATGGGCTGTAAGGGAGGTAATCCTTGTCTGTAGTTGTCAGGAATGGGTTGCCAGTGCTGTCAAGAAAGATATGTCCCCTGTAGTCCAGACCTTGGAAGACTGACTGGAGAACAGTGTTCGGAGCTTCGTTGATCATTCCATGAAGAAAAATTCTTCTTTGTATCTGAGAAGGAAAAAAACCCCATTCAGTTTGTATTTATATTAAATGATCCACATTTTATACGTCAAAATATCCCAGATGTAAGAGACAAGAATTTAATTTTGATGAACGAAAAATTAAATACAAAAACATTGGCATTTATTTTACTGTAATGTAACAAGTCATCCATTGTTCAAATTCTGTCAACTTTCGGGACATATAATATTTTATATTGAATTGGAAAGGAACAAGTTCAGTATTTGTTAATTTTGGACAATTTGATAAAAGATCAATTGAAGAAATTTAAACAAAATGAGATTCACAGATTATTTTAATGAGGTATATCAAGTAGAACCACCCTTTTAAATGATATGATGCGGACAATGGTGAAATATGCCCTGTTTTCACAATCTCAGGATTCATACATCTATATTAAAATGAGGTAATGGTATGTCAACCTTTTTTGTTGATTTGTTTCAATACACTGAAATAAAGAAACAATTGAAAATACCAACTTACCATCATTCTAACTTTAGCCAATGACACAACACTGTAGTCAGCCGTGTGATTATGATGTTCTGTATATGTTCCGCCCTCACGATTTACTAGCCAGGTATGACAGTCACCATCGTTAGAGCTGACACAGAATGGTTGTTTGGAATTGAACACTAAACTTGCCCTACATGTTGTACCATCTGATGCTGATGCAGAGCAGTACCAGCGTGTAATGTTGTTATGTGAATCTTCCACCTGTATTGAATTAAACGTTCAAATTAAGTGGTATTAGATACCGTATTTACCACAGATATTTATATAAAAACTTAATCCTTAATAGAACTGTCTAATCTTTCGTTTTGATGTAAATGATATTATACTTGTCAATTATATAAATGTGTCTCACTTATTTTTACACGAATGAAGCTTGTTTAATGATAATGACTAGATAAAAAGTTTTGAAGAAAATAAAGATGAACCTACTATAAGAGTGACATGAATTTTGAAAAAATGAATGAAAATGAAAAATTGTTAATAAGTTAATTTATGGGTAAAAAATCAATTTATAGTTGTAAGAAATAATTATTGGTCTCTTGACTAAGTGAAATAAATCCACTTTTCTTTCCATGGTGGTCATATCCATATTCTAACCATTACACTGCCAAATGTGTAATATAGTCATGCTTTCAATAGTCAACGGTCAACTTTTATTTGAAGAGGTTTCAATATCAAATAGTGCAGACAGCAGTATATACCATAGTTTGGTTAATTTAATTTCATATGACATAATTGCAGGCTGACCAGACTCTATGTTTGTTGCATAGGATTGTCATTATTCTTGTCAATATTCACAGCCTAGCACACAAATATTCAAATTGATCTGCTCTAATTAGATTGTGTAGAAAAAGAGCCATTTAAAATAGTCAGTGCGACAAAAAGCTTAATTGAAAAAAACTTTCCTTTTGTAACAATTATGAGTAGCTGATTTGTACCTTCTTTTTGAAGATGAATCCATCAGATGATAAGAGGACCGATCCTACACGTTGTTTCTTCAACCTGGGAAGACAAGCTTCTATTTCATAGTAGACCTTATTCTCTGAGATATCTGTAACATCAACAATGGTTTCTGGCTCAGTCTCAATGGTTCCAGTGATGTCTGGCTCCCTGTTTGAAGTGTTGGTAGGGTGTGGAGACTGGTCGGTTCCTGGCATCTGGGCTATTGTGTCTGAATTAATGGTGGGTAGGTTCCTGGTACTTGTTTCTGGCATTTTTGATTGGTCTAGATTTGGAGAAGATGGGGATGAGGATGGGATGGTGTCCTCTGACTGGGTAGAAGAATGGTTATGGCTGGCTACACCTGTTGTGAAATTACCTCTCTTACTTTGGATGACAGAAGCTGGACATTGTTTGGACACTTCTGTACAACACCAAAATGTTCTTGCCTCTAGTTTAAACTGGAAAGAAAATTTAGACTAGAATTGAAGCATAGCCTAGCCTTATTTTAAAGATGCATGCCTACAGATGAGCCAAAACAAATCAAGAAAATCATCTTCGTGAAAAATGAACTAAGAATTTAAGAAATGTAAAAATATTCTTAATTAGTAATGATTTGCACATTATAGATATGCCATGATTGGATTGACTGATATTGCAGTATTTATCATCATATTTCTACTGTGCAGTAAGGGCAATTTCCTTTTATTTGGTGATTTACTTGGATTAAATGGTCCAATTTTTTGCAATGCATATATGACTTGTTCACTCGACAATATTTTTTTTTTTTATATATTCAAAATTTTGTATAAAAATTAGCATGGATCTGGCATGCAATTGTAACATTAAACACAAGTTTTATTGTACGTTCATTTCATAATTATCTCATAAAAGTCCAGCGTCTTTTGCTAATTTTGGATTCTTTGTCACACAAGCACTGCAAATATCATTCAAGTTGTGGGGTATATGTAGGTACCTGAACTGAGTCACTGACCACCTTTAGACAGCAGCTTTTTGTCATGCATGTTTCTTTTATTGTCAGAATAATCTATTCAATACTGTACATATAACATATGAAGTTATAAAAAACTTATAAATTTGAAATTGATGGTTTCTGTTAACATTAGTTTTTGACGTCTTAAAATGTCCTTCAATTTACCTTCAAAAGTTTTTGTCTTGGATTATTTTTTCTGATGAAGTCAGTTTTCCCATAATTTGTATTAAATATTTACCTTAATGTTGTAAGTGTAACCAAGACTGTCAGTGAGTAGATCTCTCTCCCCAGTTCTGGTTGCTATGGTAACTTGGTATGTTGTTGCTATGGTAACACTTTCTTCCTCACTGTCAGAGCTAAAATAAAAATACATTTTAATGTTAATGTTTCTGTTAAATAATTTAGTTAAATTCTTGACATACCTTATGCATTATTTTCCTTAAAATTTACTGTATACTTGATTAAATACTGTTATAGCATATATTTTGCCAAAGTTGAGCTATTATCTAGGATTGTTATAAGTGACTTTTTAACTGGTGTAAAGAGCCAAATTTATCTTGTTATTTTGTCCCAATAAAGTTATATTCCAGGGGATGGACTGAGTCAGTTCTCTTTGTAAGCAGTCATCATAATGATAGTCATCATAATGATATCATAACCAAGAAATGTTCGTAGCTACTGTAAATGCTGATAAATGATATTGATATAAGATTTTGTCGAATGATGACAATTATTTGTTCCATTTAGAAGAGTCATTAAAAAGGATTGAAAAACCAGCAATTAATTTAATCATGTCAATTAATATGTATAATATGTTGTAATTATGATATTACTGATTAATACGATTGATTTTCTAACAAATAACTCACCTGTCTAAAGCAGGGATAGTGGAAGCAGGAGATGCTGGCATGGATTCAATATCATCATCTAGAAGTTCAACCAGTGCACTAAGTCCACTTTGGTCGCTGGAATCACTAACGCTGTAGGAACTGTCATACCAGACACATCTGAAGAATAGAATATATCATAAGTTAAAGTCAGTAATACCTTTTACCACACTGTTTACTTCGGAAGTTACAGAAACACCAGTAAATGCTTTTTATGACTTCAAGACTAGTACTCTCCTGCACATCAGTTGAATGTTTCACTATTGCTCACTTGTCTGAACTAGCATGAGTGTATTCAGTGAGCTGCGAAGCCAGCATAGACTTGAAGTTATTTTGAAATTGTTTCTTTACTGTACTAAAACTTAAGAGAGACATTTGAAAAAGAAAAATGGTTTTAACGAACAGGAACAAATGGGCCCTTGCAATTTTATGATTTTTAGCTCTACTTTTCAGCAGAGTTATGCCCCTTTTTCTATGTTTGCTTTTATTTTACTATCCAGCACTGAGAAAAGTGGAGGGCATTGTGCCTGCTGAGTGAGTGGAGGCAGGTCTTTTATTCTTCCCAGTAATGCAAAGAAAAATTAGGAGATACCTCTCTCTCAGAAATTTGTGGAAAAATATTAAATTAAAATAGTCCTTTAAATTCAAGCATTTTAAAATTTCCCATTTAGTCAACTTGGGACACATATTCAATATTTCCATAAGAGCATAAGAGGTAATGATGGCAAAAAGCCTGATGTATGAAACAACTTACGGATTTGTCCTTGGAATTTCATCTTCAGAACTGCTGCTGCTGCTGGTATCTGAAGCACTGTCACTGTAGTTGGTTGCTATGTAACTAGTGGTTGCTATGTTACTGGTGGTGGCTATGTTACTGCTTCTGTTTTGTAAAAAACATTGTTCTAAAATGTACATTGTCTTGCTCACTTGCCATTCTTCTTTATTCCATTTTAGCACATCTGTTTTAAAGATATTTTGTCCATTCTTGGCATACTTGTACTCAAAGCACATTTGTATAACAAGAGACCTGATTAAGTGACCAATCAGTATTAAGTTATTTCCCATTTTCATATTAAAAGATTTTATCTTGAACATAAGTGTAATACACAACAGTCATAATATCATAATTTTTTAGAACAATTTTCAAAGAAAAAAAATGAAGTTATTATCATGACCTTTGTGTTAGTGTTGTTTAACCTTTTCCACTTTCACAGAAACTATAAAAGCTTTGTGACACTTAATTTTTGTATACATTGCTTGCAATGTATACAGAGTTATAAGCTATATCTCAGAAAAGATACAGGTTTAATGCATTACCGAACAACATCCACTCCCGGATAAAAACCGCTATAGAAACTAGTTCTTCATTATGCAGTAGCGTTACATTCCGACTACACATCAATTTAATAGTGTTTTGCAAAGTTGTTTAAATGCTTTGAAATTTCCAAATCGTTCATTTTCATGAAATAATAGACTCTACATTCCTTTAAAGAAAACAAAAAATAACAGTTCATTAATAAAATCGTAGTTTATACCTACGCGTTAAACTTCGCATATACGCATGCGCTTGCTAGCTTGAATGAATACAACGTAAATATAGTAAAGTCGTCAGCGCTTATGCTAAAACAATACAAAATAAGCTTTTTTTAAACCGCTAGTGTGTTGTGATTAAATGTCCGATTTTAAAATGTATTACACCAATAGAAAGCTTTGGATCTTAGCTTCATCACAATGTAAACTTCAATACATCTTTTGACTCCAAAGTATTTAAACTGTTAAACCTACCATATGTCAGACCATTTTACATGCGATTTATACAGTGAGATACGCAATGATAAGAATAGCCTGTCGTCTGCTAGTTCTAAAAGTGTATATCGGTGTATTATATAAATGGGACGAAACATCTCAGATAGATATTAAATCAAATAAAATTCCCGATTTACATTTATGCAATAAAATTGACCTAAAATGTTTTACAAAATAAGTATGGAGCACCGTCACAAAATTTACCAGCGTATACCGGAAAATGTTTTTTTAAAAAAAACAAAAAAACTGGCAATTATCGTGACTTCGAAAAATAAAAATTACGTAGGCTATTCTTTTGAATACCTTTTTTACACATGATTTTCCTTTCACTTTTGTATGCCTTAGATTTTTGAATAGAAATATGTTTCGAAATTCAGCGAAGATTGCCTGATTCAGTACGGGTAAAAATAAAGATTCGACCGTTCGACCCATTACAATTCGTCGAACTTTGGATATTGACGTATGGAGCTAAATATAGGCATATGTGGCAAGATTCGACGAGAAGAAATAATCATTTGAAACTGTAAATCAGTGTAAGCATTAAGAAATAAATACATTATGTTATTTTTATCTGCTTATATTAATTGCCGAAAAACACCAAAAAAATACCGAAAAACACTTAAAATACAAAGAAATATTAATTCAGCAATATAAACCATTTTTGATGGTTTATATTTGATGAAATTGGTTTTTGTCGGTTATTTGATGAAATGGGTTCAATAATATCAGTTTTAAATCGATGATATATACAATTGGTATAATTCCAACAAAATAAGTTTTATCTACTTTTTTCTACCCTTTAAATGATTAAAATTTACTTTCTTTTGCAACCAGTATAAATTAGAGAATGATTCTATTCTGTATTCTATGCGATATGAAAGTGTTTTTCGGCAAAGTTACAGTCTAGCGTCAAAAAAACATGGAAAAGCCGGAAAACACATTTTTACGGGCATTAAAATAGTCGTAGTTAAAACAAGAGCCGCTATTTTTTCCAACCTTTTAAATGAATAACTATTACTTTCTTTTGTTACCAATGTAAAATGTCAGTGATGTTTATATTTTTATAAATACAGCATGAAAGTGTTTTTCGGCTACGTATCGGTCTAGCGTAAAAAAAAATGGAAAAGCCCAAAATAAAAAAAAACAACACATTTTACTTGCGATGAAATGGGCATTTCAAAAATAGAACTATTAAATAAAATTTTAACCGTCTAAATGAATGATTATAACATTATAATTTATGTGTAAGAAATGTAAAATATCAGTAATATTTTTGTAATAAACATTGTATGAAATTGTTTATCGGCTATGATACTGCCTAGCGTCAAAAACATAGAAAAAATAAATAAACAAACAACACATTTTACTTGCAATAAAATACTAGATATATTTTTAAAAAAATGCTGCTAAATATATTTTCAATCGTTTAAATGAATAACTATGACATAGAATTTATTACCTTTGTAAAATGTCAATTATTTTTTGTAATAAGTACAGTATGAAAAAGTCAGTGGTGAAACTTATAGGTTGGCTAGCTCAGGGTGAGGTTAGCCTGGTTTCCAGTCTGTCGATGTTTTGTTATGTTTCTGTTTGGCAAAATCGACACTATCAAAACGACGAACGAATACGGAATATTAAGCGCAAATGTTATGAACAAAAAAATGTTATGAATAAGCAAAAGCTATCAATGCCTGAATCCCAGGCTAGGTGAGGTTTTAGATTGTTGAATGTCGGCCATCCATCTTATGTCAACTCTGGTCTGTCCACATTTAGCATCGTCGGATACCCACGGCCGAACCATTTACATTTATCAGTTAGGTATCAACCACGTGTATCCGATGCTGACATTACAGTTGTTAACAATCTGCTGGTCATTTAGTTTGTTAACACTCTACTGGTCACCCTTTGTCCCAAATGTCAAACAACATCGTAAGAATGTGTGTGACAGGTGTTGCTCGAGTTTGAACATGGATCACCTTGGTTGAAAATCAGTTCTAAAAAGAATGTCACAGTAGTCAAAAAATAGAAAAAAAATGTTTTAGCTCAATGGTTCATCTAAAGTTAAGTTGGTAACACAACCTGATTATGGAAAAACCCTTGTTAACTTGCTGTCCAATATAAATGGATTTCTTGGAAAGGTTGTTCATGAAGACTATATGTAACAATTATTGAATAATGAAAATATTACTGTACATTTCAATTGTTGTGATTATAGATTTCATTTTTATTAATTAACGATAAAGTAATGCATTTGAAAATTAATGTGTAGAGATTAATACAACACACCAGAATATATTTATTAATGCATCAAAGTACAGTACATAGATGTACTGTAATTTGGTAATTAAGTCTTGTAGGATGATTCAATTAATTGACTTTGTATAGAGTTCAAACCAGATCATGTATTTTATCAGATAGCATCACTGGAAACTCAATATGACTGTTTCAATATTCTATACTGCAGTCCATTTAACGGGTGTTTCAAAAAATGATTTCTTTATTGCTCATCTATCAGCTTGTCCTAGCAATACACAGATGGAACATTACATCTTCCTTGACTCATAAATAACTTTTGAAGAAAAAAGCCTTGGTGCATGTGAATCACTTGTTAGGGACATTGATCTTGGTCAGAAGATGATCCCTATTATTTTCTAGGTCAGTAGGTTAAAATCAACATGGCTTTGATGTCAAAAATGGATTATATTATCAAGCAATGTATACTTCAGTACTTTCAGTGCTTTGATTATTCATGTGCATTGTTGTAAAGTGATGCCATTTCAGAGGGGCAGATTGACATAAATCATTTTAAGCAAAGTTATGCCACTTTTTCAACCTAAAATGTGTTTGCCCTGGTTAACTTTGTTGTCAAGGTCCATTTTCATAGAAGCTAGATAAAATTATTTAAATGAAAAAAAAATTGCTCCAATTCACATTCCATTTAGACAATTAGGGACACATATTCATAATTTTCATTAGTGCTTTAGGTTATGATGAAAAAAATGGCTGTTGGCCAACTTACTGATTTGTCCTTGGAATTTCATCTTCAGAACTGCCGCTACTGCTGCTGGTATCTGAAACACTGTCACTGTAGTTGGTTGCTATGTAACTAGTGGTTGCTATGTCACTGTCGGTTGCTATGTTACTGCTACTGCTTTAAAAATAAAAAAGAAATTGTAAAAACATTGTTAAATGTACATCAAGGTTCATTTTCTCAGAAATTATAAAAACAATTTGTATTCATTTAAAATTAATATACATGTTCAATTGAAAATGAAAAAATGACTCCATTTCAGAAGGGCAAATAGTTCAATTTGCAAAGTTATTCCCGGCTTATTTTACTCAATTATTTTCTGCTCTGGTTAAATCTGTTAATGACTTCAGACTTACAATTTTAAAGTTGGAATGCATTTCTTAAAGGCAGGTTACCATTATGAACCCTATAATTTATTTTTTCTCCTTTATGCCTAATTTTTAGCTCGACTATTCGATAAGAATAAGTAGAGCTATTGTTGTCACCCGAGCGTCGGCGTCGGCGTTGGTGTCCGCGTCGGCGTAACCACTTATGTTAAAGTTTTTGTAATAGTTCAAATATTTTCAAAGTCCATTGACATATGGCTTTGAAACTTGGCACATTTGTTCACCATCATGATCCCTACCTGTAGACAGGAGGAGGTAACTGTATCAAGCATTTTGACAGAATTATGCCCCTTTTTCGACTTAGAATTTACGTTAAAGTTTTTGTAATAGTTCAAATATTTTCAAAGTCCATTGACATATGGCTTTGAAACTTGGCACACTTGTTCACCATCATGACCCCAACCTGTAGACAGGAGGAGGTAACTGTATCAAGCATTTTGACAGAATTATGCCCCTTTTTCGACTTAGAATTTACGTTAAAGTTTTTGTAATAGTTCAAATATTTTCAAAGTCCATTGACATATGGCTTTGAAACTTTGCACACTTGTTCACCATCATGACCCCAACCTGTAGACAGGAGGAGGTAACTGTATCAAACATTTTGACAGAATTATGCCCCTTTTTCAACTAAGAATTTACGTTAAAGTTTTTGTAATAGTTCAAATATTTTCAAAGTCCATTGACATATGGCTTTGAAACTTTGCACACTTGTTCACCATCATGACCCCAACCTGTAGACAGGAGGAGGTAACTGTATAAAGAATTTTGACAGAATTATGCCCCTTTTTCGACTTAGAATTTACGTTAAAGTTTTTGTAATAGTTCAAATATTTTCAAAGTCCATTGACATATGGCTTTGAAACTTTGCACACTTGTTCACCATCATGACCCCGACCTGTAAACAGGAGGAGGTATCTGTATCAAGCATTTTGACAGAATTATGCCCCTTTTTCGACTTAGAATTTACGTTAAAGTTTTTGTAATAGTTCAAATATTTTCAAAGTCCATTGACATATGGCTTTGAAACTTTGCACACTTGTTCACCATCATTACCCCAACCTGTAAACAGGAGGAGGTAATTGTATCAAGCATTTTTTTTACTATCAAGCACTAAGAATAGTCGAGCGTTGCTGTCCTACCGACAGCTCTTGTTTTAAGGTTCTACTTACAAAGAAATTTGATTTATTCAGAATGCTAACCTGTTGTGGATATGATCAGCAGTACTTTGACTTCCAGCACTAAGGAACTCTTTGATGGTTTCACAGACTCGAACTTTGAACCCACATCCTGCTCTAGCACACTTGTATAAGGCTACTGCATCACACAATTTCTGAAAAGACAATAATTATGCAAATAATACAGTAAAATGTTAATAAGTTCAATTTTGTGCGCTTGTTGAATTGCATTTTTTTTCTTACAAGTTGTATAGGTAAAATTAATACAATTCCAGGAAACAGTTTACAGTTGATTGTTATAATTGGTATGGTCAGCATTTTACTTCATAATAGTTTATATTGGTTGAATGGCTCTGATTTGGAACTAGTTTGCGAAGATGTCAAATAATATTCTTTTCATTACATTGTTTATATACATTGACATATTTTAGATATTTGGTGTTGAAAAATTTAACAGGCTTATAGCATTGGATGGCATTTTAGGTCAATTTGGTCAAGGTCGCTCAGATTTTCCTACATTTTCGTCAGGGTCATTGACATTTCTTCTTTGTAAGGCTGAATTTATTCTTAGCTTTGTAAAAGCAAATTACAGAAGCATTTGTCCTTGTTAATATTCTTGTTTGACAAAAGTCATATTATAACAGATCACTTGAATTATCTTTAAAGACTGAGTGTTGTGTATGAAATCCATTCAGGTTTTTCACTTAGGACAGCAGTTGACCTACTCATAACACTTACCAGTACTTATGTAAGTCTCTGACATATTTAGAAGATTATAGAAAACAAAGACCAAATGTTTACCTCAATCATAGTAAACTCATTCCCAAGGTTGTCTTCCACCATTTTGTCACCAGTTGTTGTATTGTATAATGTGTATAGGGTAGGTTGTCTGGATGTATCAGAGAATATTGGCTGTGCCTTGATGATAGTGGTACTAGTTATACTGTCTGGGATGGAGTGGAGTACAGCACTGGTCTGGGTCCTACTGTAGAGAAACATAAATTACACTTTCGGTTTCCATGTAATATGCATAAAAAACATTAAAAAATACAGAGTTATTCCTATTAGAATAAAAAGAATGTAGTATAGCATAATTTTGATAAACCTCATATCTCTGTTTAGTTGTTAATTAATTCAGATGATCTATAATTATATACATGCATTGTTTTTATTCCTTGGAGTAGAAAATAATAACATAAGTAGCAGTGCAATTGAATGATGATTCTTGAAATTGAAATGATAAGTACTGTATAAGTGGATATTTTTGTGTGTGGAAAGTTATACTGAATTTGAATTTCCAGACATTTTGCGTGAGGAAATATTAGCCAATCATGAAAGTAGAGTAGAATTAAATGACGTATAGCTTGATATTTAAGCTAGAAGATTATTTTAGCGCCATCATTTTTGTCAGTTTGCAAAATTCGCCAATATTTCTTCATTGCTAACTTAAACACTTATACAGTAGTAACATTTAACATTAAGCTTTGATTATTATTGTCAAGTGTACATTTTCTGTGTGCTCTTCAGTAACTCTTCAGTAACTTCCTTTTAAAGATCTAAAAAATTTACTCTAAAATTTTTTTTCGTATAATGTTCATCATTCAGACCCAAATTTATTAACAGATTGGGTTCCTCTAAGACTTGCGAGATTCAGCAAAACCCATGAAGTGACATTAACCCATTTTTTAAATATTTAATTTCATTAACAACTTTGTCAATTAAGGAACTTATGTCTTTAGATTTTGATTTACTGATATTGTATTATTTATTTGTCCTGCTTTTAGTTTTAGGTAATCAGTGTTTGAGGACACAATACTTAAGTGGTAAATTGTAGAATATGTATGGTGAAATGTTGGCTGACCTGACTTATTAGAAATGTTAATGTTTAAATGCTCTTTGAATAGGAAACAGTTTAAAGTTAATCACTTGCTTATTCATGTAATTAGAAATGATGCCAAATGTTAAAACTTACTGTTGTGTTTCTGGTTGAGGTCCCTCCCTCTCATTTTGCTGAATCTCGCAAGTCCAACTGAACTCATCTAAACTACTGCTGTCAGAATCGTATCCACTGTTATCATTATTGATGTGTGATGATGGTTGATATGGAGGCAGCTTGAGGGAAGATGTGTGGTCGGTTTCCTTGGAGACGATAGATTTGTCTGAGGTTGTCTTTTCTGGTGATAGTGGTTCATCCTTTACCTGTGATTTATATGTACATTGTAATACATTATAATTATGCCCCCATTTCGTAGAAAAGGGGGTATATTGCTTTGCACTTGTCGGTCCGTCGGTCCGTAGACCAAATGGTTTCCGAGTGATAACTAGAAAACCCTTAGGCCTAGGAACTTCAAACTTGGTATGGTGATTGGTCATGACCAGTAGATGACCCCTATTGATTTTGGGGTCAAGGGGTCAAAGGTCAAGGTCACATTGACCTTGTAAGCAAAAACGGTTTCAGATCAATAACTAAAGAACCTTAAGGCCTAGGAACTTCAAACTTGGTATGGTGATTGGTCATGATCAGTAGATGACCCCTATTGATTTTGGGGTCAAGGGGTCAAAGGTCAAGGTTGCATTGACCTTGTAAGCAAAAACGGTTTCTGATCAATAACTAAAGAACCTTAAGGCCTAGGAACTTCAAACTTGGTATGGTGATTGGTCATGACCAGTAGATGATCCCTATTGATTTTGGGGTCAAGGGGTCAAAGGTCAAGGTCACATTGACCTTGTCAGCAATAACGGTTTCCAATCAATAACAAAAGAAGTTTAAGGCCTAGGAACTTCAAACTTGGTATGGTGATTGGTCATGATCAGTAGATGACCCCTATTGATTTTGGGGTCAAGGGGTCAAAGGTCAAGGTCACATTGACCTCTTGGGTAAAAACCGTTTCTGATCAATAACAAAAGAACCCTTAGGCCTAGGAACTTCAAACTTGGTATGGTGATTGGTCATGATCAGTAGATGATCCCTATTGATTTTGGGGTCAAGGGGTCAAAGGTCAAGGTCACATTGACCTTGTAAGCAATTACGGTTTCCGATCAATAACTAAAGAAGTTTAAGGCCTAGGAACTTCAAACTTGGTATGGTGATTGGTCATGATCAGTAGATGACCCCTATTGATTTTGGGGTCAAGGGGTCAAAGGTCAAGGTCACATTGACCTTGTAGGTAAAAACGGTTTCCGATCAATAACTAAAGAACCTTTAGGCCTAGGAACTTCAAACTTGGTATGGTGATTGGTCATGACCAGCAGATGACCCCTATTGATTTTGGGGTTAAGGGGTCAAAGGTCAAGGTCACATTGACCTTGTAGGTAAAAACGATTTCCGATCAATAACGAAAGAACCCTTAGGCCTAGGAACTTCAAACTTGGTATGGTGATTGGTCATGACCAGCAGATGACCCCTATTGATTTTGGGGTTAAGGGGTCAAAGGTCAAGGTCACATTGACTGTGTAGGTAAAAACGGTTTCCGATCAATAACGAAAGAACCCTTAGGCCTAAGGACTTCAAACTTTGTATGGTGATTGGTCATGATCAGTAGATGACCCCTATTGATTTTGGAGTCAAGGGGTTAAAGGTCAAGGTCACATTGACCTTGTAAGCAATAACGGTTTCCGATCAATAACTAAAGAACCCTTAGGCCTAAGGACTTCAAACTTTGTATGATGATTGGTCATGATCAGTAGATGACCCCTATTGATTTTGGGGTCAAGGGGTCAAAGGTCAAGGTCACATTGACCTCTTGGGTAAAAACCGTTTCTGATCAATAACAAAAGAACCCTTAGGCCTAGGAACTTCAAACTTGGTATGGTGATTGGTCATGATCAGTAGATGACCCCTAATGATTTTGGGGTCAAGGGGTCAAAGGTCAAGGTCAAATTGACCTTGTAAGCAATTACGGTTTCCGATCAATAACTAAAGAAGTTTAAGGCCTAGGAACTTCAAACTTGGTATGGTGATTGGTCATGATCAGTAGATGACCCCTATTGATTTTGGGGTCAAGGGGTCAAAGGTCAAGGTCACATTGACCTTGTAGGTAAAAACGGTTTCCGATCAATAACTAAAGAACCTTTAGGCCTAGGAACTTCAAACTTGGTATGGTGATTGGTCATGACCAGCAGATGACCCCTATTGATTTTGGGGTTAAGGGGTCAAAGGTCAAGGTCACATTGACCTTGTAGGTAAAAACGATTTCCGATCAATAACGAAAGAACCCTTAGGCCTAGGAACTTCAAACTTGGTATAATGATTGGTCATGACCAGTAGATGACCCCTATTGATATTGGGGTTAATGGGTCAAATGGCAAGGTCACATTAACCTTGTAGTTAAAATGCTTTCAAATCAATTACTTAAGAACCCTTTGGCCTAGGAACTTCAAACATGGTATGGTGATTGGTCATGACCAGCAGATGACCTATTGATTTTGGGGTCATGGGGTCAAAGGTCAAGGTCACATTGACCTTGTATGTTAAAACGGTTTCCGATCAATTAACTAAAAACACTTAGGCCTAGGAACTTCAAACTTTGTATGATGATTGGTCGTGACCAGCAGATGACCCCTATTGAGTTTTGGGTCAAGGAGTCAAAGGTTAAGGTCATGACCAGTAGATACTTGATAACCCTTATTTATTGTTTGATCACTGGGTCAGAAGTCATGCATAATAACCTTATCACATGACTAATTGGCTGCTGATAGGGGGCATACATGTTTTACAAACATATCTTGTTCTGAGTCAATTGGTAAGAATTATATGGCTTTCAGGAGCAGATAACTCAAAATCAAGCACAACAATATCTTATTTAAAGCAGCACGCCTCCAGATTTACGCTAATTTTCATGAAAATTTTGAAAATGTATTTCGAATGTATAATATTGTGAAATAACGAAAAGGAAGCAATTTGCTCATTATCAATGGCAATTATAGCCCACGTAAATTACCAAAAAGTTGTCAAAATAGCCCTTACTGCGTTTTTAACGCAGTAGAAATATAGTTGTAAATATTTAAAATCAGTCATTAACCCCACAGAACATGTAAAATATTACTTGAATCTTGAATCACTACTTTTCCTAAAATCGTAGTACATATTACTCAAGTTTGATTTTATTGAAACATTTTGCCTCATCTGGAGGCATGCAGCTTTAATTTCAAGTTGTTTTTGTTATTTCACTTTTAGCTATTATGCAAAGTTTCAAACAGTCTTTTTCTAAAGGATATTTTGCTAGTCTTCATTGTGTAGACCTGCTGAATTTTCTTCAAAAAAAGAAACATGACTTAATATAAATTTCTATCATTTTGCATTATGCAATCTACACGTAAATGAAAAAAAGTGACTTTCACTTTGAATTTCAGCAAATTTTGTACCATGAATAAGGGGAAGAAAATGTAACGCTTAAAAAATGTAGAAAATGTAAATAAATAAAAAACAGTAATGGTCTATGCAGTTTCAAGCTTACAACAAGTAGGACATGTATAAATTACAAAATCACATATTATCCTATTGCTTTAACGCTCAGTATAATTACTTTATAGACAAAATTAAATTTTAATCATGGGCACTAACTGTATACGAATAGACTTGCTCCAGAATTAAGAATATTTTGCGGTACAAGCAAACTTGTACAATTACAGACTTGAAAATAAGCGTAACAGACTGACTAATAAATTGTGACCGGTAGTGTACCATGAAAAATTTGTTTGTACCCTGGCATAATACCTTCGAGAAACCCACTTTTGCTGAGTTCCGGATAACATCTATTGACAGGTTATGTCTATAAATTAGATTGAAAAAAGAAATTACAAGATTTTGTAAATTGAATAATAAATGAGCCGCGTCACAACAAAACCAACATAATGGGTTTGCGACCAGCATGGATCCAGACCAGCCTGCCCATCCGCACAGTCTGATCAGGATCCATGCTGTTCGCTATCACTTTCTCTACTTGTTATAGGGTTTGTAACAGCATGTTGGTTTTGTCGTGACGTGGCTCAAATGGTGTTGACAATTTCTGTGAATATATTTAAACTTACTCGTTGTTGGTGTTGACTACAGTAGTGACAGGTCCAGGGAGTAGGTTTCAAACCAAGGACTGTAGCCAGGTAGAACTCTACATAGAAGTTCTCAGAAACACCTAAAAAATATATTTTATATTATCATCTAAATTAAAAGCTTTTCAAACAAACATTATGTTAAGTCATACAATGAAATAATGAGTGAGAAAAAATTTTATGCTAAAACCAAGTAATAAAATTTCTGTTTGTTCTGTTTAAAAACATTAAAATATGTAGTGTATAGTCCTTATACTTATGGTTTTATGGTTTTACTTATAGTTGATTCCCGAAAGAGTTGTAAGAATATTCCTGTTATTTATCAGACATGAAAAATATGCTTAAGATCCTTTATGTTCAGTTGTAATTGAGGTTGTATACCATACTTAAGTGAAATTATATATATGTATATAATTATGCTTATAAAACAATTTTCAGACATGAAAGAATATGTTAAATATCTATTGCAAATATTTGTACATATATGTAATCATTAGAATATATACATTCATTTTTTATTGAAAAAATTGAATTTATAGAAAATATTTTTTTTTATTACCTCCCTTTATTTATATAAACTGTTAAATTCGGTAATATCTTTATAATGCTTTTTGGACCTTACAAAATTGATAAATCTTAATTTGAGCATCATATTTATGATATAAAACCATAAAAAAATTTTGTGCTACAGGATCTTTGAATAGAAAATGTACAGGAACAAAATTTATATTGCAATTCTAAGAAGGGCTTTATAAATGTATATCAGAACTTAAGTAAATAGTTTCTGTCTGATTGTCAAAGCATAAGAAAACTTACACGAAAAATTTTCTTTTTCTTTGTGAATGTGTATATTAAATATTCAGACAGAAATTTTGTAAATGTGGGCAACAGAGATAAAGGTTTATACACTTAAAAACAAGTTAAGGATTTTAATATACATGTACTAATAAAAAATGCTTTATTAAGATAAAGCATTTAGTTTGTTGTTTTTCATCAACCAGGATTGAACTTTACTCAATAGTTTCTTTTTTATTGCTGTGTTCCTAACATTTATGAAAAATCATACTTTATGTTAAATGACCTTTTAATCAGTTTCATTCAAATACTGTTTCACTTTCATCTTGCATGAACAGCTGCCTTAAACCTTTTCTGTATTACAAGTCTTACATTAAATTGACAAGTGTTTTCACTTATACTGAATGTCATGTTTTACATATATATTTGTTTAGTTTCTTTTATGCTTGCTGCTAAAAAAAATCAAAATCCTTCATTGAAAGATTTTATTTGATCTTAATTATATGTGTTTATGTGTGTTCTCTAATTCTCATATTAATATTTGTAACATACATAAATATGGTAATAATTATGAGAATAAGGTGCCCCTCACTTAAACACTCTTTGTTTTAAAAATCAAGAATTTAAGAGTGCAAAGACTTATTAAAGGAAAATGACGAGCGAAACCCTGTAATTTTTGGGCAAAATATTTTAAGTGTAACTCTCTAGGTCATCTAAGTATTGCCACAGATTGCATTTTTGTAATATTTTATATCTCTGATTGGCAAATTTTATTGGCTAATTTCAAATTGCTTATTATTAGTTAATGTTTTGAAATGATAAAATATAAGATGACTAATGCTAAGGTTACATGTAACAGAATCAAAACTATTAAGTATTTAATAGATTTTATTTAAACATTGCAAGATCATAGATTATGATAACAGAAACAATTAAGCAAAGAAAAATGGGTTTCACTAATTTTATTATGCCCCCACAATGTGGGTGCATATAGCGTTGCACTTGTCCGTCAGTCCGTACGTCCCGAAATCTTGTGAACGCAACTCCTCTTAAACCGGATGGCAGATTTTGCTTAAACTTACAGGGATGAACAACCTTAATGTGTAGATGGTAGTAAAGGAAGGAATTTTCGCTGCGACTAAATTTTACAGAATTATGGCCCTTTGTTGATTTTTTTACTAGATACAATATAGAAATTTTGTGAACGCAACTCCTCTTAAACCGGATGGCAGATTTTGCTTAAACTTACAGGGATGAACAACCTTAATGTGTAGATGGTAGTAAAGGAAGGATTTTTTGCTGCGACCAAATTTAACAGAATTATGGCCCTTTGTTGATTTTTTCGCTATATACTATGTAGAAATTTTGTGAATGCAACTCCTCTTAAACCGGATGGCAGATTTTGCTTAAACTTCCAGGGATGAACAACCTTAAGGTGTAGATGGTAGTAAAGGAAGGAATTTTTGCTGCGACCAAATTTTACAGAATTATGGCCCTTTGTTGATTTTTAGCTCACCTGTCACAAAGTGACAAGATGAGCTTTTGTGATCGCTTTTCGTCCGGCGTCCGTCCGGCGTCCGTCCGTCGTCCGTCCGGCGTCCGTCCGTCCATCGTCCGTCCGTAAACTTTTGCTTTAAATGACATCTCCTCATAAACCACTGAGCCAATTTCATCCAAACTTCACAGGAATGTTCCTTTGGTGGTCACCTTTAAAAATTGTTCAAAGAATTTAATTCCATGCAGAACTCTGGTTGCCATGGCAACCGAAAGAAAAAACTTTAAATATCTTCTTTTAAAGAACCCTAAGAGCTAGAGCTTAGATATTTGGCATGAAACATCTTCTAGTGAGTGTCTACCAAGTTTGTTCAAATAAAAGCCCTGGGGTCAAAATTGGCCCTGCCCCAGGGGGTCATAGATTTTCCATTTATGCATATAGTAAAAACTTAAAAAATCTTCTTTTAAAGAACCCAAAGAGCTAGAGCTAAGATATTTGGCATGAAACATCTTCTAGTGAGTGTCTACCAAGTTTGTTCAAATAAAAGCCCTTGGGTCAAAATTGGCCCCGCCCCGGGGGGGTCATTGATTTTCCCTATATGCATAAAGTAAAAACTTAAAAAATCTTCTTTTAAAGAACCGTAAAGAGCTAGAGCTTAGATATTTGGCATGAAACATCTTCTAGTGAGTGTCTACAAAGTTTGTTCAAATAAAAGCCCTGGGGTCAAAATTGGCCCTGCCCAGGGGGTCATTGATTTTCCCTATATGCATATAGTAAAAGCTTAAAAATCTTCTTTTAAGGAACCCAAAGAGCTAG